AACGAAAGAGCATCATGGCAAACTATTGAGTGTCAAATCAGAAATATTGACTTCATCGCCAAAATTGAGATCAATTTTTTTTTAACTCAAACTTTGTTTTTAAGTCTAATTATTTTTTTACTAAAAGCCTTTAGCTTGCCATTATGCCTGTTTCGGAGGGAAAATGTCGCCAGTTTCGAATGTAACACAGGACACAGGATGCAAAAGAACCGAAAAAAAAAATTCAAAAGCTTTAACTAGATTTCCTGGTTCAAAATTCTCTTGTCGACTAAATTTGGATGAAAAACTATAAATTATTGGAATATGGTGTTTGAATTTAGCCATAAGAGCTAAGACATATTATCCTTTGGCTCCAAATTTCTTAAAACTTATTTCGCTAAGCTTTTGAGAAATAAAATAAATTCAACAGTGAAGACATTTCACGATTAGAGTCCAGGTTTCAATTTGATTTGCGAAGAAATTTCATAAAATGGCCTCGATGAGAGGAAGTTGGAGCGAACTCTTACAATTTGATTTTAGCCTTCAAAAGTTACGACGTGTAACGATTAGGCTCCTAGTTTCTTTAACTAGATTTGTGAAGCATTTTGAAATCGATTCTACCCTCTTAGGATGAAGAAGTTTCTTTTGTTAGGCTTCAAATCATCAACGATTAATTTTTGCAGGGAATTGTTTCACAAGAATTAGTCGTCAAACGCGTTCAATTTCTTTTTTAAACTGAGTCTAAAGATCAAAATTTCAAATTTTTACTCTTTTTTTTTCCAGTATTCCTGTGTTACACACCAACTGACTGCCCAAAAGATCCTCCCTCCATTTTAAACAAGGAATAAATAAATTAACTACAATATGTTGTAGCCTGACTAGCCTGAGTTGAAGTCATCAGAGTCGAGTGAACAATTGTTTATTAATCAAATGTTACACTTCTCTGGTTTGTAAAAGTGATCGGTTAGTTTTGCAGTAAAGTGGCTGTTAGACTCAAATATCGTTCGTCCATTGATTAGTCAGTTTTGATCAGTTGGTTAGGTCAGTCCACTCTAACTTAGTAAACTAACTTTTCAAGGGCAGTCTTTTGAAAATTTGTTAAGTCGATGTTGTTCAGCAATCTGATTTTCGACGTAAAGAAAATACGGAAATTCAATCAAATTCACCAAAATATTTCAATTTTGAATCCCATTTCCATTTTTTCAGTATTTTGTTCAAGTGCCACCCTAGCACGCCTTTGTGCTACTTCAACTAGAACTCTATTGCGATACCAATTGTAAAACAGACCAAAAAAAATGAACGATCAGAGCTTCGAAATTGATAATTTAAGTGTTAGCATTCCGTAGCCAGGATTATATCAGATTCTAGTTGTTTCTGTCTTAACTTCGATACAAAGATATTCTCTTAGATACATTACACCAAATTATTGCTGGTAGTTCAAATAAATCAATTGATCGCTCATGGTCTGTATAACAATCCGTAACACAACAGACTATTCCAAAAATGATGGCTGGCTTCCCTTACCATGTAATCAGTTTTATCCATTCCAAGACAATAGGCCATTTTACAGTTGTGCACTTAGTTGCCAAGCCTTTGATTTGGAGTGAGGCTGAAGGTGACCTTGTTGTGATAGAAACCAGTATCTAGTTTGCATGATAACAAAGTAATTTGCATTTGAAAAGCAGCAAGGTTTGTATCATAACAAGGTCACCCTTAGCCTCATTCCTGTTCAAAGGTTTGGCAACCAAGCACACAACTGTAAAATGGTCGATTAGCGAAAGAACGAAGACTTCGTGCAATAATTAGACTTACAAAGGGCCACCATTTTTGCTAGTATTACTAAATAATTTCAAAGTTCTTATCTTTGCAGTGTCCACTAAAGATCCAGTGATTGCAGTGTCTTCTCTTGACCAAGACCTTTGTTCTTCCAGTCTTCTGAAAACATTTTACCTTCTGAAAGTAGAAAATATGAATGTGATCAGGGAATGTTTATTTTCCATGAGGAAAAAAACTAAAACTGAATTAAAATTCTGTATAAATGCCTTGCTTATTGACACGTTATAGCAAAAGCTGATAGTAAAACGGGAAGCATCAGAACGTTGTCAAACGTTATTTACAATAAAGCAAACGCCATTGAGTGGAAGAGTCATCAGAACTCCACGTGGCTGCATTCAAGTACAAAATGTAATCCCAAACACACATAGCAAGCAAATAATTTTTAAGTGAGCGTTTCACTACATATTTTAGAGTTATATTTTTATGCCTTTTTCGAAGCCGAGACCTTAATTCGGTTTGATATTTCGATGAAGAGCCGTTCAGACCGGGCAACCGATTCGTGCTGTGTTGTTGAACCGAGATAGAATTAGATCTCTGAGAGGGCTCAAGGTGATATTTTCCAAAGTCAATGCTCACCAGCTGTTATAGCGACATGTTTTCTTTGCCCTTCTTTAGAGGTCCAGTGACTTCTTCCTTCCAGAGTGCAACGTCATGCTCAGCACAACGGACACCATGTCTTCACTCTACGACGGACAGCGTTGTTGGCTGAAAATTCTACAACTTCTGATGAATATGGATGAACAGCTGCAGCCGCGGCTATGTCACAGATTTGGCGAGGATATCTGTTTGCACGCTCAGCAAGCAACAAGAATCAAGCCTAATGAACAGGCATTGTATTAACGGATCGGCATGTGTCAAGATGGAAAAACTCACTGCTGCTGAATTTTGGGAATTACTGCGTGACCAGTAAATTACTCTGACACTCGAAAAGAGTTAGTTTGAAAAACCAATAGCATTAAAGGCAGTTGATTCCAAAATATTTCAGGCCTCAATTTTTTAATTGCGTGAATAGAAGGCTAATTGTTCTTTATTATCTTACGAAGGGAGCGTAACAAGAAGAACGCAAAGATGATAATGACGCAATGTTATTTACCGTGGAGGAAAAACGTGGAAAAATTAACGCATTGATACTCTCTTATGTAGGGAAAAAAGATTAAAAGTACATAAAATGAATTAAAAACGCCATAATTTTATCAAGCAAACTAAGGAACAAAAAATCTCCATTTTCGAGCAAAGAGAAAGAGAAGTTTAAAATCCAGTCAAGTCCCTTAATTTAACCCCCCAAAAGAGGAAATTCTTCCAGAACACTCAAAAGATATGGCTTCTCATGAAGGACCCTTTGTCATCGAAGGATGTTTCACTTGCTGCTTATCAAGATGATGAACCTTTTAACAAAACATATTTCAAGTCGGACACTTTTGGTTGGAAAGGAGGTAAAGGACACCACTTAATCGAATAATTTGCCAAGGGGTGGCTCCAACTGGGAGCCTCTCATTTAACCTGTCACCTCTGCTAACAAAAACAAGGGTAAGACTTTTCACAGCGTTGTAATATTTAATTTTGCACTTAGCAGTGCCTTAAAAAATTTAACAATTTAGCGTCGTAGGTCATCTCACAACTTCCACTTATACAAAAATATGCCATACACTACAAAAGCTATCAAATGTAACAAAAAATAACGACTATGAACCAAAAACAAAAATTAAAAATATTTTCTTACTTTGCCTTATATAGTACATTTATATATAAATAACGTGGAGCATTAAATATCTCTCTATCTGGATAAATACTTTGATCAACTATAGCTAACTCATCTAAGCCATGTCCGAACTCGCCTCAGGGTGCGCGAGGCCATAAATGGTGTTCAGTGATCTGGGGACGAGTATGACTGCTCAGTTCCAAAAGGCTAAAAGTTACTTCAAAATCTACCTTACAGGCCCTCTCCAAAACAGCATCTGAGTACGTAAGTGTAAAATCTCAAAAACCATTTTGAATTGTAGTCTTTTTAGAAACTTCTTATTGAGGAAACTATGACGTAATCGTGAAATTAATGTCGTTAGACTTCATTCAGATTTTAAAAACTTGTTATTCTTTCCCCAATCACCGTCTAACTCGGATAGTGACCAAGACTGAATTTTACATTAAAAGATCAATACAATATCAAGGAGACAAGAAACGAAAATAAAGAAAAAATATCAATTGGGGGATTTTTAGTTGATCGAAAATCAAATTCTCCTAATTAACATTAAGAATTGTAATGGAGAGAGAAAGGAGAATCACTTATAAGATCTTGGGAGTGATAAGGTTTATTTCATACCAAGGTTTGTTTGTTTAATTTTTTTTTTTAAATTACCACTTCCTTTAGATTTACACGTACAATTTGCATTTAGAGAATTCCAAAATGTCTTTTTCAAGGGATATGGATGTATAAATGATAAGTATGTTAATGATGAAGTCTCTGGACGATGGCGAATTCCAACAGCAGTTCTATCTCACAGAGAGCGGAAATGAAGTGATATTTTCGAGCTAAAGATGAAGTGAAATGTTGACTCAATACCGTCTGCTTCTTGGTTGATAACTAGTTGTGGTACCTGAAGAAACAAAGAAAATAATTTTAACAACAACAATAATAATAGAATCATAATAATTAAATGTATTAATATGATTCTAAAATAAACAAAATCATGACGTTAAGAGCTTAATATCCATGCAATTAAGCCAAGGTTAAACAGTACTAAAATGGCGAGTCTATAATAGCTCTGTAATAAATACCGCATGCCCCCCCCCCCCGAAACATGAAATGGCGTAAAACAATTCCGACATTCACGAATTTATAGACGTTAGACTTGTAATTCCAATGGAAAATTGTGAGTCGAAGTCAAAAAATATTTTCACGTCGGAATCTCCAATAAAACGTCAAGTCTCCCTTTCAAGATGCAGACAGTTGCATGTCAATCAAAAAGTATCATTAATAACAGGTATTAGTAAGGACTGAATAACTAGATGTCTCTTTAGGTGGGTTGAACTATAATGGTTTTGCGTCAAAACGAACGAAAACTAATAAACATTGAGGGTAATAAGTGCAGATGTCCTAAATTATATAAAACTTATTTTTACCAGCGGTGAAATAACAATTCCTTCCCGGATTCCCGCACTTTTCTGGTACAGAGTCCTTTTTTTTTATTTCAGAATGAAACTTCAGTATACTTCGAACGCGTTGTTGCAAATGTCTTACCTCTGTCAAAGGCCCCAAGTCTGTTCTGTAAGGACTCCAATCTATGGATGTACAAATTCAGCGAGTGATCACCACTATCACTGTCGTTATGAGCCGATCCCAACGAAGATGCTCTAGACGGTGAAAGTGGACGATCGTGGTGATTGTGGAAGTCCAGTAAACCCGATCTTTCTCCGCGACGAGGCGAAGAATGCCGAGGTGAAGACTCTAAACGATCTCGATGACTGTAATCTCTCTGTGTAGTTACAGAGTCCCTAACCGGTGGCGATTTTAAAGTTCGGGTGTAATCGGTCGTGGTCGGTTCTCGAGCGAGCGGCGCCGACGTCGAGCGGGTATCCGACCAGGATGTTGGGGAGAAAGTTCTAGATGATCTGCTTGGTGACGTGACATGACTTCTGTGCGACAAAGGCCCGTCTTTACCAGACATAACTCCTCCACTGAGTCTCTCACTCGATGACGCACTCGTGGGTGGCATGGTATGACTTCTGAAGTCTACATGCCCATTTATTCCTGTTTGATGTTTGTCGCGAGTTCTCCGGTCACTTCGCGGCGAATATCTGTTAGCATACGAAGAAACACCATTGGGCTGATGCGAATGCAATGTTGGCGCAACATGGACGCCATTAACACTACCGGGCCTTTCCTCAGTCGACCGAGGTGCGTAGGTTTGACTGGGGGCCTGGTAAACAGAGTGATCGTGACTGTTTAAGTCTCCGTTGACCATACGTGATCTACTCGTGTTCTCACGCGTATCGCGTGATCCCGTGATGGTAACACGTTTCGATTTGTTCACCAAAAAGTTCATGCGTTGGATTGCGAGGACAGCGCGCCCGGCAGTGCGGAATCTGCTGATTGCTGTTCGTCTGAAGGAGCGGTCACGATCCTTGGGGTAAGCTCCCATCTGAGCGATCATGGCCAGCGTAGTAGACTCGCACTCTTCAAAGCCTCCCAGAAGCAACAGAAGATATTTCTTTTGATACACAAGAGCTTTCCGAAAGCTCTCAGCCTTGATAAATCGTTTATAAAGCTTTAGGAGCTGCAAAACAAGAAGGACAACGTTAAGGTCGATAGCGGCCCAACGAGTGCAACAGGCTTTGACGTAAGACCACAAGCGTTTAATGACATGATACCAAAAATAAAAGTCCCAAACACAGAAAAGCAAAACTAACAAAGCAGACAAAAATTCACAAATCAAAACTTAAGAAGGTGACTTTTTAAGCCATCCAGATCCAACAATTTTTTTCCGAGAGTTCAACATTAGGATTAACAGCAGCTCGACGCGTTATTGACACAGTCGCACGTCACCGACAGGAACAAAGTAGAGAAAATGTTGGAAGTTTTCAACGATTCATTAATGCAAAACACCCTTATTTAAGTTTTTTTTTTTTTCAAATAATTGCTCTATACTGTGCTTGAACAATTCGAGAATCGACTTTCGCAATTGCTTTTTCATTCAAAAGCTGTAAAAATATCTTATGTATTAAGGAGCATTACGCTCCCATCTCCCATCACTTCACTATCACAGACCGAAACCACAGGACTACAATCTGGCCACTCACTACCCACCTTAGAACGTGGCCACGTGATCTCGTCGGTATCTGATTCACGGCTGCTGAGTGGTATGCGCGGCGTACCAGTGTCTTTACTGATTTCTTCTCTCAAACGAGCCAGCTCTGCTTCAGCTGACCTCAAGGCCTGCTGAGATCGAGCTTTTTCCTGAGCCCACACTTCACGCTCAGCGTTCAGCACAGAGTCGGCATGCTCTTTTGTAAGGCGTGAATTCTGGAAATGAGTAAAACAATGATATTAAGAGAAAAATAGTATAAACATCTTTACGGGACAGAGAATGGTATACTAGACGATGTTTCTATGAGGCACCTTGAGTTCGTTACCTGTTCATTTGCTCTATCCCGCTGTCTATACTGCGCAATTTGTTCTTCTAAATTAGCTAAAGCATTTCTCAATTCCTTCTTTTCCTCGTTTAACTTGGAGACAAATTCTGCCAGTTCTGTGTTTTGACGCACGATCCTCTCTTGTGCAGCCGCTTTAATGGGCGACAATGGCACTGTCTGGTCGTCCTGAAAATTATTTAAGACGGGTAAGGTCCACGTATTACTTACTGAAATATTGATACGGCTATTTGATAAGGAGTGTTTTTTTTTTCGGGGGGGGATCACATGGTTTTCAGGGGGGAAAGGACGGGGGATCAACCGTCCATGTTTTTGGTTACATGCAGGGAAGATCGTTAACAATACACTCAACGCCTGGCAGGAGTCGTGCTGGCCCGTCAACAAGTTTAACCTGGCGTCAAGAAATGATTCGTAAAAGGAGAAGCGTTACGCATCCAAAGAACAACGACGCGCACCACGTTTAATAGAAATGTATAAAGTTTCAAAATACGCTCTAAGAAGGGAATAGAGGATACGCGACAAAGCTCTGAAGAAATTTATGTCAGGAGTTATTTACTCCGGTAGAGACGGTAGAAAATTGACCACCAACAAAGGGGGGAAGTTTTAGAATACTCCAGACCCTTAGGGGGATCAGGTAAATTTTATTGTGACATAGCCCCCACCCCTTAGGCGATAAACAACGACCGATACCTAAATACAGGCTACTTACGTCTATATGCACAGTGAGTGTTGATCTTATCTGCTCAAGTTCTTTCAGAAGATTGGCAAGTGATCTTTTCACTTCTTCCACCTCCTTGTTACCCCTTGAAGTAAATATCCAGGACAATCAGGTAATACAAATATTCTATTAATTGTTGTGCTTGAAATAGGCGCAAGGGTTCGGACCAACATTGTCGGTCGACAGCCAAGAGGAAAGTTCAATAGCTGTAAGCACTTTCGCGCACGAGCTAAGCTCCTCGCAAAGATCTACCGGCGAAATACCTAAGATCTACCGACGACCGTCGACATATCCTCAGCATTCACCGGAAAATCCATCATTTAATTAATGGAGCTCTTCACTAAACAAGGATCCCGGATAATCTTCGAAAATGGAATTTAATCAGAAAATCCTTGAAGTCTAAAGTAATCTTAAAATTGAACAAAGCAAAACGCTGAAAAGCCGAAATAGTTGGCACACAAAAGCTTCGCCCATATGAAGTAGTGTTCCTTTAGTGACTAAGTTATTCGGAAGAGTAAGTCAGTTACCTGGTTGAAGCAGAGTCAACAGAATTCTGATGTTTATTGATCAGCACCTGGTGTTGTTGTCTCATAGACTCCAATTGTTGTTGATGAAGAAGGAGTCTCATACGAAGCGGGTACAGAGACGCCTCCTGTGAAGAGAATAATTGTGTTACAATCACGTGACGGTAGAACCGCGTTAATCATTAAACACCTTTGAGTGACTAGAACAAATTTCCTCTTCAAAAAGTTCTACTTAATCGAACATAGGGCTCACGAAGATTGAGCAAATTCGCAGGGCCAGAACAAAACGTGGTGATCGTCAGACAAATTATGTTCATTGATATCAAGGTAAATATAAGGAACATTAAGCGGAGAATTTTCATGTTAATAGCAGGGTTTACAGAGGTTTACCAACCACTGCAGAGAATTTCTCAAAGCTCATTTATCGAATTTGAGCCCTTCACGTCTCAGCAAAAAGCTTGAAAGAATTACATTATTCATAAACGTGCCTTTCCTTGAATAGGTTAGGAGTAAGAGTACTAATTTTACTTTCTCTACACCGATGTATGTGATTGTCGTAAGACGCTGATATGTCACATAAGGATTTCCTTAAACCAACAGACCTTTTCTGACTGTTTTAATGCCTGGCTATCCAGATCTTGTTGTAACTCGCCCAGTTTTTTATCCCTCTCCGTCAAATCTCTGTTGAGATCTGCGTTCTTTTCTCTCTCGTTCCTCAGTTTCTGTTCGAGTTGAGCTCGCTTTTTCTTTTCGTTTTCCAGATCTGTCTGTAGATGGCGTTCTCTTTCCTTGTGACTCATGGCAGTAGCTTGTTGAACATCTCTCTCATTCTGTAGCCTTCGTGCCCGGATTCGTTCTTCTTCCAGCGTGCTTGTCAGTTCAACCAATTGTTTCTGGGAATAGAGAAAGGTAGTGAAAGGTGATTTTCGTTTCTTGATGAGCGTGGGACAAGGAAAAACCGGAATGGAACCCTACAACTTCTCTGATAAGATTGGAGGCAGTTCATTAACTCATAACACTCTAACATCAACATGGATATTCTCCATACTGTTCTCTGTACGTCTACTAAGCTGCTGACAAGGAAAATTTGTTTAACAAACTATATTTTGTTTATTCAGTTGTTGACGATCATTTCCTGTATTCTCGCGACCTTAATGTGTGACTCACAGAAATAAGATGCTGGTCACCCTCAGGAGTCAATGGGTTAAGGAATGGTTACGGGCATCAAAGAACTCGTTAGCTAGCTGGGTTATGCATTAAGGTTGTAAGCCACAAGCAAAGTTCTGCATACTGCTAGGAACAAGTGATGTCCGCACTACTCTGTGTGGTGATAAGTCTCAAGCTTTGTTTCTGAAATGTCACACGACGAAATACCATTATTGTGACAAAACCCACTATCTTAAATAACAATTTTTAATCTTTAAGTTCCCTTCACCTAGACAGCAGAGACAAATAATCAAATTTGTGTCACAAAGGCCTGGAAGTATGACACCTCAGTGTCTCCTAGTTCCTTTACTTAATAAGATTGATTCCTGACGAAGTTAACTGTTTCATGTTCATGAAAAATCTGTCTAGAAATTGATATAGTCTTTGTAATAACAGTAAAAACCTTTTCAGTACCTGGACAACATCTAGAGCTCCCTTTAACTGATGAGCGACTATTTTCTCTGTCTTGACGGATTCGTCGTTCTTGTCTTTCTCGTTTTCCAGAGACACTTCAAGGAACGCGCTATGATTTTTCTCATCTTCAAGAGAAGTACTTAGTTCGACAGACCTCTCTCGGGCAGCATTCAACGCCGCTTGTAGCTCTGACATCGAAGAAGACATTAACATATCAATAACTGAAATAGGAAGTCACGTTCAAGAGCGATTTTGCTCCCAAAGTCCCCACAAGTTTAACTGTTCAAACAAAAAACGATCATCTATGCTGTCTTATTTTCCAATGAATTATAAATAACCTGGTGAAGTATAAGTGAAGAAAAAAGAAGACTGTTATGACAAATCCCCAATTTCTCAAAAAAACTTTTCATGAAAAGCGAGGAGATCGCATCACTTCGAAGGCTGTAGTTAAAAACTGCAGGGAATACCATTGATAAAGTTAACATCGGGGTTTCAAAAAATGATTTCACTCAATTGTTTTTTTTCTTGTTTCCTAGTCCTGGAGTGGACCCCGATCGAGTGCCGTAAAAACCAAAACAAGGTTATCACGATGACCAATTCGAACAAAGGAGAGAACCATAAATACTAGTTAATGGCTTAAAGCGCGGGAAAATGCATTTTACGAGATGATTAGATCAGAGGGTGGATAATTTTTCTGACCAATCACAGAACGTGATAAAACAAAATGAATCAAAATACAAAAACTTTCGACTTAAATCTTAAAAGACTACTCTCTTCTTCACATCTCGCCTAAGTTTACAGATTTCTTATCAGTATAGCTGGCCCACTTTCCTTTATGTTCTACCTTTATTGGTGTTTCGCAGCTGATCTGCGCGCTCCTTTGAGTGTCTCAGCGCCTCTGTTTGACGTTTCTCGTTCGTCAAGGCCAACTGAACGTGTTCTGCTCGAGATTGTTCATCTTTCAAAGCCGCTGTCAACTCATCGATTGTCTCACGATTACGCTCTGTTGAAAAGAAAAGTTTAAGATATTGAGTTACTGATTCGTGAACGGAATGTCATTACCACAATAACAGAGAACACACCCTACCATGAAAAGTCTTAACAATGAGGTGTTGCTCGGATATGCAAAGTTTCCCTTTACACTGCACTGCTTAAGAAAAACAACAGATGCATGCACGCACACCCAAAGACACGCAAGTAGATGCACACGTACACATAGACGCACACGCATAGGACAAAAAATTACGGTTTTTTGATCAAGGACAGACCACAACACTGGGAGCTACGTTCCCCACTCTTTGCGAGAAGTGCGAAGGTTCACTCACGTCCCCGACTAACCAGTACGGGAGACACAGCTTATGGTTTTATCGAGAAGACTAGAATTTCTAACCATTCATAGATGTCGTAGCAATAACCCTTCAAGGCGGAGGAGGCGAGAGACGAGGTGGCCGAGTGGTAATCACTCAGAGGTTGTATTCTAGGGAAAGACACTCAACGCAAACCACAACAGTCATCATTATTACCTAGAGCCTCTACTTGTAATGCCTTCTCTGTTTCCAATTCAGACTCCAAAGTAGAAATGGCAATTCTTTCTCTCTCCAGCTGCACTTCCAACTCTACCTTTTCCTGTTTATCTGCTGACAGCTGTCGGCGGAGAGCCTCAATGTTCTCCATCAGTCGGTTGTTATCTTGTCTGCCTCGCTGCCGTTCGCTTTCGACCGCATCTTGGTACTTTTTAGTATTTGCTCTTTCGAGTTCTAACGCTTGCGTTTGGTTTGAATGACGCACTCTCTCAGCTTCAAGACTTGTTCTGCAAAGAAAGGGGAAACTTGTTAAGTTTTAATGAAACAGTTTTCTAAAATGGCGCCTTATTATAAAAACACACGTCGTCTTTTTCCACGGGGACATTAATATTAGCACCTTAGTCAGTAGAACCATTTTTCACGTAATCTTGTTAAGTTTCAGCGGAGAAGACGGGATAACAAACATAACTATGACTGGAGCTAAATGTTGAGCCCGCAGTGATGCACCTGTCTGCAAATATGAATAAAAAGCTTCTTACTAACGCCTCTGTCTAATGCCTCTCACCACCCCTCTTCGGCTCGTTCACTACGCAATGTAATTGGCCGGCCTAGAAAATAGCGCCACTTTCTTAACCAATCAGATGCAACACATAAACCGATTGCGACTTGGTCCCTTGTAATTTCCCGCCCTTGAGGTCGATATCGTGTACTTATCTAAGTTCTCATCGGCTCCTTATGAAATTAACTTCTGTTCTGATAAGCCAATGAGATTCCTTTGGTTTCTGTGTTACGAAACTTGATCGGAAAGTGCTTGAACATGTATTTACTCACTTAAGGGACAAGACCTGGACCCGTTCCTTCTCTAGGGTGGCTCCTAGTTCTGTGATTCGACTTTTCTCTTTCGCCAGGGCTTCCTTCAAGTCAGCCACTAAGGACCTCTCCCTCGTTAGCAAGTTGGTGAGATCATTTTTCACGTGATCCACCTGCTGTCCTTTAAGCAGTACTGAAATGAAATGAAAAGGTTTCAGCGCTCCCTTTACTTCATTTGACCCACATACTAGGGTAATATAATATAGTCAACTGAGTTGATAGCGTAAATTGGCCATCTTTAAGAGTTTCAAAGCTGACATTTTGAGCGATAGCCCTACGTCTTTTAGCTCTGACGGTGGCCAATTTACTTAATCAACTCAGTTGATAATACTTAATTCCCCTGTTTATACTCTCCCACCGACGCAGCAACACAGCTTCTTCAGAAACTTATTCCTTTGACTCAGATTCTACCGTGGTTGGCAAACTGATAGATTTAGAGCCGCGCTTATAGAAAACGCGATCAGCGGAAAAAGTTTCAATTGATTTTGCCTACTTTGCTTATAAACATAAATATTTCCAACGGCAAATAATAAATGTTCTCTACTTATAACAAATGGATCTATATCGGCATTGCAGCAAAAACGGATTCGTGGCAGACAGCGAATAAGCTTCTTTGTTTGCGTTTGCAATTAACATAGCTTTAGTTTTTACTTCGGAAGTCATAACACTAACACCCTGTATTTCCTGGTTACTTAGCATAAAAAAAAGACAGATTTCTTACACTGTGCCCTGACGTCTCTCTCTCGCTTTTTAGCTTCCTCTAATTCAACACGCAGCTGTTCCACGAGATTTCCCTGCTAAAAATAATAATAAAAATAACAGCTTAAGAGCGAAGGGTTAGAGTTTTAAGAACGAAGTCTCAGGCATTTCCCTTGATTTGCGTCGTTTGAGTCACCTCAATGTAAGCAATTCTAGATACCATAAATAACCAAAACACATATGAATATGCTACTAGTGTTATCAAACTCATACCTGCTCCTTCAACGGTTTCGTAGAGGTCTTACGAAGCTCGTGAATCTCAGCTAGCAAAGAATCACGATCCTTTGTACGAAGGTGTTCCATAACACGACTCGTAAGTTCATCCTTTAAAAAAAAATATGTAAAATTGCGCATTAATCCAAAAGGCAAAGATTTTTCCTTCAAAATTATGATTCATTGAGAATTTAAAACAATTGAAAGAGTATGAAAATTAAGAATGTGGAGTAACTTTGCCAAACAATCACCAGTTTTGAGAAGTACAAAGAGTTTAAAGTACGACTCAGGATGATTTGTACCTGTGCGTGTATCTGATCCCGCAGTAATCTGGCCCCGGGAGAGTCATGACCGTTAGTAATCTGTGAGGTCCTCAGCTCTGCCACAATGACATCCCTGTCTTTCTCGAATACCTTTAAAGGTGCACGAAACAAATGAAATTGTTATTTTAATAGACTCCTGTTATATTTTAGTTAATTTGTCAAAAGTATTAAGAATTGGATTAGTATGACACCAGACTTCCCTGTGGCTATCCTATCATTTCAACACCCTCAAAAATCAATAAAAATTCTAAATTGGTTACAAAGGAGCTTGACTGTGAAATTCTACTGAAAAAAAATATCTCAAATCTAGGAGTCCTACTTTGTCGAAGAATTTTTTGAAAGAATCTGTCAAACCCAAAACTGATTGGTTCGTGGATGCATTTGAAATTTATTTTTATGGGTATACAGCCTTAGCCCCTGTCTTGTTCGTGTTTATGTCCGTTTGTGCAAGTTTTTTATATTTTTTTTACATACGATTACCCCTTTTTCCGCATGGTTCGGGCATTTGTAGTTAGCAAATATGGCATTAACTATTTTGGGTCAACAGGGCTGAAAAGAAAAACACATACGTACCTTTTGCACGGCGTTTAACAAATCTGCCCGCCAATCAGCTTCCTCGAGAAGTTTGGAGGGCTGGACAAAAAATTACCATGGTATTAGAAAGAAGAACGAGTAAAAGAGCAACCTTAAAATTGCAACTTCAGTGCAGGCTTGATTATGGTGGAAAAAAAAAAGTGTCGTAGTAGTAAGCAGAAACAGAAGAACCAAGCAATCACAACGCTAGTTTTCAACCCCTGCGAGTGCTTGAGACTCTAACGATCTAGTTGTCGCTAGATCAACTCTATCGTTAGCGGTGAAAAACCAGCCCTTACCGTGGAAGCCTTTCGAGTTTGCGCCACTAGATTTTTTAAAGACTGGACAGCTTCAAGTAACGCCTGTTTCTCCGCTGACCAAGAAGACTGTAAAACCGTTACATCCGAGCTTGCTAGTGATCGGTCTTGAGGTGACGGAGATACAGCACTGACAAGTGATTGGATGGTCTCAGCCTCGGTATGAAGATTGTCGAGGAGACCCTGGTAAAGAGAAGATATGCGATACACTCTTTGTAAGATACCTCAAACAGGGGTAACATTTACTTCGGTCTGATGTAAAGAGCTGTCTTGCCAACAGTGTCTTTTTCTGCGTAATGAGGGCCACTTGCGTCTTTACAATTGGCAAAACCAGGTCTGTGCCCGACTCAGATGGCCCAAGCCGCTAGATATCTCTCCTATTTCGCCAGCGTAAAGCGACCTGGAGTATTGTTACTTCCCCTGGGTGGGATGCAAGCCCATCACAGGTTACCACCTACATTTAGTAAGCTTCATTAACGGTTTTCCCGCTGGGCACAATTATAGTGCAATGGGCCCAGACTCGAACCAAGACACTCCATCCGAAATCAAGTGTGCTCACAATTTCACCTTTTGGCCACAAGTTTGTCTTTCACTGATCTGTTTACAGATCAGCCTTCTCATAAATGGATAATAACTGATATATCAAGCATGCATTAGAAAAAACCCTCTCTTACTTCGATAGTGTTTCGGGATTTTAGAGGTGAAGTAGTTGCTGACTTAACGCGAGCCTGCCGTACGAGCTGTCCAACAAGTTCATTGTCCAGTCGCTCGTTTTCATCCAACGCCGAGTTAAGACGCACGCGCATCTCTGGTGACGCAGACTCGATGCCTATACATGGAAAAAAATTAAGACCACTTTTACGTCAATATAGGATTCGTGTGCAATCTGTAATTAAAAATTAATTGGATCTTCTAACGGCGGCAGAAACTCAAGTCTGTCATTCGGCTGAGTAACTTTCAGAGCAGTAAAAAAAACATTGCTCAACTATAGTAATCGCTGAAATTATAATCAATCAAATATTTTTGCCCGCGAGTAATTGGCATCAAGTGATTCAGTTAAAACTATGGAATATCCAAGGATATACCCCAAGTGACATTCCCAATTTTCAAACATTACGTCCTATACGGAAAACTTTTCATTAAAAAGTTAATTCATAATGAAAGTGCGTTATAAGGTTTTTACAAAAGAAAGAACATGTTTTTTTTTCTTTTACAACCTTCATATCGCGTTGAAAAATATTGGAAGGATAACATACACAATAGCCTTCATTTGGTGTAAAACTGTGCTTATAAATTTTTCCTTGGACATAATCTGTTCCTCGAGACTCACAGTGTTCCTCCCGCTACGCTCTCGGAGAACTGTTCGATTGTTGGAACAGTTAGAGTCCGCGCAAAATTTCGCGCCAAATGAGCGCTATTGCTTGTATAGAGAATAAACTGCATATCTCCTATGAAGACCAACCTCCCACCGCAGGAATACCAACGTATGAGGTATTACACTTTGACCACCAACCTGATATAGTCATCAAACGCTCTATTTCTCGTTGATGATCCTGTCGCATTCTGTTCACCTGGTCGTTATGTGTGGTGAGCAGATCTTTCCGCAGATTGTTCAGTTTTGTCAAGTTGTCCATCTCTAGCTCAGCCTTCACTTGTTTTATATCCCGTTGTCGTCTCTGCTCCTCGTTCTCTTTCACAGCCACCAGCTGATTCTCGTATTGCCGTTTGAGGTTTTCCTCAACACCTTTTAGTTTCTATTGATATGCATTAACACGGAAATAAATATCACGACACTGTACACTTACGAACGAGAAAGTGGTCGAAAAACAATATGCAAAAACGTGAATTGCGTGTCGAAAGTGATCCGAGAGCGCACTGGTTCTTGCTCGCTTCGCTCTGTGATTTGTCTTCAAAACTTGAGCCACTTTCTCGACCAAAATATGGCAACGGTAAACCAAACACGTTTTCGCTCTTATTTACTTTGGGCGATTAACATTTCACTTTAATCAGTTCAAGCATTGACAGTAAATTATCCACTTCAACGTTTGGTAGAAAAATTACGATCGTCTCAAAACCAACTTCTTAGCCAACAATAAATCAAAGCAAAGAACAGATTAAGTGGATAAAAACTGGCATTGCTCTCCGGCTCCACCGATCAGTAGTTATAGAAAAATTATGCGCTCTTCATTTTTCAAACAAATAAAAGTGTGAGTTAGGTAACCAGGCAGCCACACCCTTAATTTCTAGTTTGCAAAGAACACCTAACCTGCTCAAAGACAAGTTGTTGACTTGGACTCAAAGTATCTTCAGCTCCCGTGGGTACCCCCCTTGTCAGCTCCGCTTTAAGGGCGTTGACTTCATCTCTGTGCGTTTTTTGTAAGTCAGTGATTACAGACGCGTGACTGTCCTCTTGAGATTTGAATTTTTCACGTAATTGGTCCATCTCTGCTCGGAGAGCTGCCAACTGGCGCGACTCAGCCAGAAGATTTTTACGAATCTGTTCTTTTTCTTGCTCTTTGGCTCGCACGATCTCTTGCGATTGATTTAATTTTTGACTCATCGCCTCTAACTACAGAAAAAAAACCAAGAACAAAATCACTTTGTTAGAGCGTGATACGGATCAAATTAAAAGGATTAACTGCCGTGAACAGCACCATATTCAGCATAATGCAAGCCAAGAGGCCTCACGTTTACACTGTTAACATGCGAACAAAAATTCTGCGCATTTGAAATCAGGAAAGTTCAAGAGATGCCACGAAAACAATTTCTTGCAAATTGCAAAACAGCTTAAGTCTTCGTGCTGGATTGAAAACTTTCTAATCTAATGAGCATGATCTGTTCTCTGTACATCGTAAAACTGACACAGTCGTCTTACCATGAGCTCAATACTTATTACGCAAACAAACGAAGACCATCACGAATCGCTCACGCATTCACTCGCGCGCGCACTCACTCGCGCACGCATTACGTCACATCCGGTTTCAAACTCACCTGCTTGGCTAGAAGGGTTTCTGCTTCAGAATCTCTCTCTTCCTTCACAGTTTTCTCTCGATTTAATTCGTCCTGCAACAATTTGATTTCTTCTCCTTTCGTGGCAAGTTGTTCTCCCTGAAGCCTCATCTCTTCTTCTTTAGAAGCCAACTGTTCTTCTGCATTTCTTAACTTTTCTCCGTTCTCAGCTGTCAACTGCTCCATGGCATTTACTTTACTTTCGAGCTCTTCAATGACCTTTTGTTGTTGGACCAAAGCATCTTGGCTCCCTTTGAGCGCTTTGTCAAACTCTTCCTTATCTTCCACCCCTTCTTTTCTCTCTTGCAATAGTTTTTCCAATTCTTTCGTGCGGTCTTCGCGCTCATTTATCAAATTTTCTTGTTCCTTTAGTTTGCTGTGCTGATCTTCCAACAGTTTCTGCTGTTCTTCCATCATCAGATTCATTTCTTCCATTTGCTCCGCCAGGTTTTTCAATTCGTCTTCTTTCTTGTCAAGAGCCTCTTTGAACGTGTCTAATTGCTCGGCTAACGCTCGAGATTCTTCGTCTTTACGATCGTAAGCTTCGCGTTCATCCCGGAGCATTCGGACAGGGGTTGGGGTTTCGTCGCGTTCTGCTCCACCCTCGTGCTTTGTCCGATTGAGCTGCTCCTTAAAAGGGTAACGAAATTATTTGTACAACAGAGAATTACCCAGTAACACATAGGTAATGGTTAAATAGGAGGTTATTACAAATTAAAGTTCCTTGGAGGTAAAACTACAAAAAATCGATTGCTTGGTGCAGGTTCTATGGAGAAGATTGACTTAAAGCCGTTTTGGATCAGTTTCCTTGGCATACAATGAGCAATATTACAACTGTTCCTCTTGGATTATCAAGACACGCTAGAACTCCGAATTCCATATTCGCAGTTATATCAGGGTTCGTATCCTTTTTCAGAAACAAATTTCAAGGAATTTTCTGGGACTTTTCCAGGACTCAGACTGATTTGTAAACGGCTTCAAATTTCATCTCAAACCCTTTCATTCTCAAGATTTCAAAATCAATTCTTCTTACGGCCTACATACATTTGTTAAAACATAAATTCTGAAAACTTAATTGCTTGAATTAAGCAAATTTCCAGAACATTCCAGAACCTGTGGTCTTTTCCAGGACTTTCCAGTCCTTGGAAATGTCAAATTAAAACTCCCGGACTTTCCAGGGTTTCCAGGACCCGTACGAACCTTTTTACATGTTTTACCCATTTCCACGTAGATCTGTTGACGGGATCTGTCCAAGGGGGTTGCTTGAAGGGGGAGGAACTGATTGACGCATAATAGTCTCGCCAAAAAGAATTGTCACGATTTCGCCCTGGGGTCTTATCAAAGTGAAACTTTTCAAGCCCCTCACTGGAGGGCTACGAAAATGACCGAAAAAAAGAAGGCAGTTATCTCACCTTCAGCGCAGAGATCTGGAGAAATCCATCATTGAGCTGTTTCTGCATGGTCACCCTCTCTCGCTCCAGGTCCTTCTGAGTCTCCTCGCTAGTTTCCAAATCCTCTTGCAATTTGTCTTTTAATTCCTCTAATTCCTTAAAAGCTTCCAGAGCTTTGGTCAGTTCATCTTGTAGATCCTTAATCTGCACCAACGAGTCGATCTCAGATTGCGTCTTTACACTCAGTTCCCTCTCTAACTCTAAGTTACTTTGTTCGAACTCCTTCAAGCGTGTTCCCAGCTCTTCAATAGCAGCCTGCATATCTTCTTTAGATTGTCCCTCCTCGTTCACTTTCCCTTCCAGTTCCTTGCACTTGTTAGCTAAGTCTTCCCGCTCAGAGCGAACCTGTTCAACGAGTTCCATAAGCTTATTTGCTTCCGGCTCCTGAATACTTTCTTCCAAGACCTTTTTATAGTTTTCAACCTGTTGCTCAAGATCGTTAACTTTTGCCTTTAATTCTTGAACGGTTTCCTCGTCTTCTTTGGAATCCCCGCCGTCTGTTTTATCATCAACTCCCCATAATTCTTCGCCATGAATACCTCCCTCAACAGTTTCTACAGTCGTAACCTGTTGAAGGAAACAAAAATGATATGCAGCTATTTCACGAGAGGGTGGCGGGAAAAGAAGCGTTCAAGTACACACGACAACCCCGAAAGGCGTTGTGGGTAGTTTAGAGGTCACGGTTCCTTGACTTCATGATTTCAAAGAAATCTGAGAAACGTCAGTTATTACTAGATACCCTGATTTCCTTTCAAGAATGTCGCGTGAAATTTTGTCCTTTTTTTCGACAACCTTTTATAGACTGCTGAAAGGTTTCTCATTGCCTTGGCGCATAAGCTTCACTAGCCCAGATATCCTACTACACACAAACTAAGATTTTATAACAGCAAATTTTTTTCGAATCTCAAAATCTTGCCAAGAAGACTGGGGAAAAAAAATCCGATCAAAAGAAACTTTTGATCGGATTAACCTTCATTAAACTTACTTTACAGAGATGCAATTGTCATTTGCAATTGTCAGACAAGCGAAGTTGAAAAACATTACATTAGTTTACATATGCAAGCGAAAACGAGCGAACTATGCGATCCATACAGATCTTTAGTATGATCATTACTCGATTTTGGAGCACTTAGTATTTCAAGGTCTAAACAAGGATCCTTAATATTATGAGCGACAGACAGTAAGTCCATCCAGCATACCTGTATCAAGGGTACCTCCTTCTGCAAGGAGACAGCGCGTTGAAGTTTCTCGATCTCTTCCTTATTCCGCAGCTGTTCCTGCATCAACTGATTCACGAGTTCATTCTGTTCCTTCGCCTCGGCTTCTAACTCAGGAATTTTTTCGAGGTGAATCTGCGCCTTCTGGAGCAGTTCTCGTTTCTTTTCTTGCTCCAACTCAGCGTTTTTAAGCTTCTCCGTAAGCTCTTCATTCTGTCCCGTCAGTTCTTTGGTCTGCAATCTCAGCTGCTGGAGCTCGTCAAACTCCAAGGTGTCTTCTCCTCTCGCCTTGGACAGCTCGATACTCAATTCTTCTTTTTCGTCCCACAGCTGCTGTACTGCCTCCCTGAATTGTTCAATGGCGTCCTTCAGCTTTTCGTTTTCTTCCTGTAACTCGCCGATATCCTCCTGTAATTTTTCGACTTCCTTCTTCAAATGATCATTCTCTTGAATAACTTGAGCCTCAGAACCCGTCATTTGAGACCGATTCGCTTCTTTCTCTAGAGAAGCAACTTTTGCCTCCAATACAGAGTTTTCTTCTTTAAGTCGCTGAGAAACCTCACTCAATTCCTTCACGCTAGCTTTGAGTTCCTCCGGGCCATCAAGTTCATCGAGTTTCTGCGCCTCTACCCGCACCACCTTTTCCTCCAGATCTTTCTTCTCTTTGGCCAGTTGCTCTACCGCAGCCTTCAGTACATCATTCTCTTCCAAGAGCTCGTCGCCGGATTCCTTCAAGGTTTCTAACTCTTCAGCTAATTCATCTCTGGCCTTAATTAACGTTTTCAACTCCTTCGAGTGTTCTTCATCCTCTATATTCTTTTCCGCCACTTCCTGCGCCAGGCGAAGCCTTCCTTCTTCTCGAAGAGCTTCCACTTCAGACACAAGAACTCGTCTTACCTCTTCCAGCTCCTGTTCACGATCTTTTACTTCTTTTAACTCCTTCTCGGCAGCCTCAACTTTTGATTTCAACTCTTCGTTTTCTTTTTTCATTTCCTCGTTCTCTTTGTTCACGTTATCTATGGCTTCACCTTGTAGTCTGTCGTTTTCAGCCGCCATTTCTTCCATGTGTTCATTCGCTTTATTCAGTTCGTTTGACAGGCGTTCTTTTTCCTCCAGTTCCTCTTTCAACCTCGCCATTAGATTCTCTTGGGCTGCCATTACTTGTTCGAGCTCCTCGTTTCGTTGAGACGTAGCATTAAGAAGCTCTTTCTGCGCCGTGCGGGCCTGATTCCACTGCAAGAAAAATTCAAATGATGCTTTAGCCAGGAAAATTTCCACTGCGTTGCGACACGTACGAGACTTAAGTTGACTCTTACGCTATTCAATAGTTGGAAAAAAAAAAACACGATGGTGGGTAGGTAGTCGTTGAAAACCTTAGAAAAGTTTACAGTATTAATCGTTCGTTGTTAGGCTTTTAATCGGCTGCGAGGTAGCGGCAATTAAGTATGTGGTGTCGTTGATGAACACCCCCACCCCCCCAAGGCCGACTGTCTGCGCAACAAAAAAAAATTGATATTACCTGTTTGGTCATCGTGGCAACAACTTCGAGCAGTTTTTGCGCAGCAGATCTGAGCCGAACCCCAGAATCTGAAAAGAGAAAGCAAAGTTAATTACTCTTAGAGCTGGTTCTTACTCGGGGGTCAAAAGAACGCGCAGACCTACTCCTTACGGGTACGTGCAGGCAAATTGAGTTTCGCGGGCTTTCAGTGCCAAAAGGATTAGAAATCAGTTGCACCATCGTCTGCAATATTAGGGCTTCATACTGCCACGCATGTCAAGAGTGATCTATACATAAACGTGAAAAATTGATATGCTCTACTCAAAGGACAGAGCTTTTTGAGCCAGATAAAGTTCAGTCGGTTCTTGGAACAGGCCACTTCGATGGACAACCAGAACGGTTCGACTAACTAGTTCTTAAATAGAGGAAGCGGCTGTTCGGAAATCGTTTGACGAATAAATAATTCAACCTTTTTGTTTCATTACATAAACTGTGTCTCAGAACACACATTAAGTGAGTTCCTGCTGATTGGCTACGTGCAGTGACACGCAGTGTGCGCGTTTTACGCTTGTAACGCGTGGGAATTGCATGCGCTCAAGCGCATGTAATTCTGTAATACACGTGAGCGGAACTGCGTATCAAAGGAAATGACAAGAAGTGGAATGTGTGAGAAGAGTGAAAGTCTTGGTTTTAACGAGACCCATTTCTTTCCAGAAGAACTATGATCCGCTCGATTAAAGAACGCTTTCATCATTTTTTCCTCAAGATATTGGATAAGTTCCTTTTTTTCCTCTTTTCCACACAACTTTTGGCCCTACCTATCACAAGTTCCTCAGCTTGTTCATCCAAGCTCGGTCCTTGGAAGATTGTGTCCGTTTGTCGCTGTGACAGTTCCAATCCTTCATCACTGAGAAGTGACAAGTCAGTCTTACTGGTCAGCGTTGCATCTTCTGACTCGGACAGGTCAGCGGTAGCGCCTCCGGTTGGTGTCGCAAAGTTGACCGCAGGGGCACTGGGTCCCGCAGCAGGCGTTGACGTCAATAGCCCGGCAGGAAGCGAGCTTTGCGGGCGACGAATAGAGTCTGGTGGGATCTGGGACTCATTTACTGTACCGGACTCCAATTCATGTAAGGGCCATTGTGTAAGTTGTTCCTCATTTTGGCTTGTCTCCTGTATCAGGTCTTCAAGCTGTTTGTTTATCGTCTCCTCGGTAGAAGCCGCCTGTTTCACCACGTCTGAAAGAAGCTTTAACAGGCGCTCGTTTGCTCGCTGCAACGCATCCCTTACAAGAAGAAGAAGATAAAAATAATTGAACTTAGAATCAGCTCAATCAGTTGAACATGACAGCACAATCTCATTGGACTGTAACTTAGTTGTAGCAAAGGTCCCTTACCTCTCGGCAGCTAGTCTCTCCACATCAGAGCGAAGCATGGTGACGAGATTATCTTCCTCTTGGTGTTCTCTGTCTCGACGTGTTAAAATTAAGTTGTAGTTGTCTGACTGACGCTGAAGATCATTTTGAAGACGAACCTGTTCAGCCTCCATCTGGAAAGACAAATGGAGGAAAAAAAATGAGGAGATTTTGGATAGAAATTTTGTTAACCAAACTTTTCGTGAATTTTATGCAGTTTCTCGGGGGAAAAATGGCGATAAATTGAATGTCCAGATCTCAAGAAAAAACCTACTTTTTAACCCCTGAAAAATACCATACAAGACTGAATGACGGGCAAAATAATAAAATCCAAGAGCTCAGTAAAACTTGAAAACCCATCCATCACATATCAACAGTTAAACATGGCATTCCAATATGGTGCTGATCAAGAGAAAAAAAACAGCTCTTGCTAAACAATGTCTAACACACACCTCCTTAATCAGAGACTGTTTCTCCTGCAGCTTGTTCAACAGCTTTTCGTTCTCCTCCTTGACAAAAGAAAAAAAGATTTAAAATCAAGACTAGATTGACTGAGCTAATTATCATTACCACTAATACCTTTGCTTTAAAAAAGTCAGACTGAATGTCCAGTTTGGGTTTTCTGTCTGATGAATTTAAAAACACCGCAGTTTTTTAAGGCTATAAAGTAAAATCTCGAAATGCAGTCCCACCTTAGTCCTATCAATTTCTGCTATAAATTCTTTCTCTTGGGAATTCAGGTACTCTTTTAGTACTTCCACTTCTTTACGGAATTGCTCCTCGACTTCCTCAAGACCTTTGGCCTGTTCAGCTTCTATAGCAGCAGCTCTTCCTTCAGCAGCGGCGAGATCGGATTTGACACGGTCCAGCTCCTGCCAATATCAAGCACAAAGAGTTAACCAGGGACCAGTTGTACGAAGGCCGATTAGCACTAGCCTGGGGTTAAATATTAATCCAGCTTTCTTTATTTCTTTGTTCAAAAATTATTTTTTTTAAGGAAAAATCTTCCCTATTACTTTAAGGAAATCCAATGATAAAATTGCGAGCAAAAAGATTTGAACTGAACTCTCTTAAAGCTTTCAGACCTAAAATCAAATTTCACACTAACCCTGGGTTATCTTAACCCAGCTTTGAACAACCCGGGCCAGGAAACAAAAAGTAATGCTAACATCGAGCCGGGAGACAACGAAAGCCAGCACTGCGTGCAGAAAAAAGAAAGAGATGACATGGCTACTCTACATGTCATCTCAGCCGCCACCTGAAAAGTCTTTTGATTTTCTATGGCTACTGATTTCATCATTGATTTGCATAAATATGAATTTTCACTTATGATTTTCACATATATTCCCAGTTACTTATTTCACCATTCTAAAGTTCATCTGATCTAGTGCAGTGCCGACGCTCCATCTAATAACACTAACAAGTTGCCTCATGAATGCTTCGTTATCCTTTCAAAATAACAACACAAACGACAGACAAAGTGACGAAGGGTGGGTGGGTGGGTGGGTTTTTGGGCAAAAGAGTGTAAAGGTAGGTATCCTCGCTAACCTTCACCAAAGACTTAACCCTAGTAAGGTTTGTGCAGCATCCCTAATTGGTATTTATCCTTATGTTACCAAAATATTTTTCTAGCATCTTTACCATTTTGTGTCTCTCCTCCAACAAGCTCTGTAGCTCTTGTACCTGCTCTCCATGTGCAGAGTCTACATTACTCCTCACATTCCCCATCTCCTTGTCAAAGTTCTCCTGCATCCGTTGTACAATGTCATGATGGGCCGCCTGAATGCTGGCCTGTACCGCCTCAAGCGCAAGTACGCGAGACTTTTCACGCTCAAGTGCGTCTTTGAACGCGTCAATCTCTTTGCTGTGAGCTTCGTCTAATTCCTCCTTCACTTGGGAAACTTCTCTCTCGGCGTCCAAACTTACCGCGGAAAGCTGATCGTTGTATGCTTGGGCGACCTCCTTTTTAAGTCGTTCGATTTCCGTCACGTGTGTAGCCTTGAGGTTGTGAATTTCGTCTACGTGTTTCTGTTGCAGTTCAGCCAATCCGCGTAGCTGTTCTGCGTGATTCTGTCCCAGGCTTGCCTCGAGCTGTCGGAGGTTTTCCAAATGTTCTTGTTCAAGTTCATAACGAGCCACTTCTTTGGCCTCTTCCAGTTCAGTTTGGAATTTCTCAGACATCTCGGCGCGTGTAAATTCTCTCATTTTTTCCAGATCCGCCTAGGACAGAACAAATCGAGGTTAATTGTACTCGGTGTCAAAAAGAACATGAAACCGACTATACTTTCTTATGAAAATTTTGAAGCCTTTACGCGTGTTGTGTTTGAGAAAAGGGTACAAAATTACAACAACAAAAAAACTGCGAACGAAATAGTTCCTAAGCGGACCAAAGGTAATATTTATTAGGAAAAACTAGGACTGCTCGGGGAATAAAACTTTCCCAAACATAGAACAAAAGCTTTTGTGAGAATGAGAGTGATGAAATATAAATGAAGAAATCTCCTCATTAGATTGTCAATATCTCTTAAGTAGACAGTCTGAGGTTTTTCTCACTTCTAGCGTATTAGTGAAATTTACTGTATCACACGAACTGGATTTCTCTATTTCAACCTTTTTTTTTTTAATAAATACAATAAAAAGAAATATCGTAATAATTACAACACTTGTAATAATATTAACAGCACTTCAAATATCAACTGTTATTGCTTATTTCAGAATACTACTTCCAAGATTATGAATGTCCTACATGTTTTATATCCCTAACAAGGTTTAATTTCTGAAGTAAAAAGTGTTAGGAAGGAAGTTGCACTAAAAAACAAACAGACAAACAAACCTCGTGTTCAGACTCTAACCGAGCAGTCATCTCGGTGAACTTTTCCATGTGAGTTCGAACCAGTTCTTCTCGGACAGCCTCGAGTTCACGATCATGCTGCTCCTTTAACATCTGTAGCTGTAACTCTTGTTGTTGGCTGAGGTTACCGCTGAGTGCTTCTTCTAACCGTGCCATATCAGCGTTTTTCTCCTCTTCCAGCTGAGCTCTCTCGGTGGCCAGCTCTTCGTTGAATCTCAACTGCAATGCTTTCATCTCAGCATCGTGTTTTTGCTGTTGAGCATCGAGTTCGCTCAGATGTTGGGCTTCCTGTTCCTGTCGAGCTTGCGCCATGGCAGCTTGGTGTTCTGTGAAAGATGCAAGAATCAAAACAAGAGTCCCTTGGTTAAATTCTTCGTGAAAAGACGGCAAACCTACATGAAAATCTAGCCTTTATGAAGAGCTCCTATGCGGTCTACGCACTCTGTAATCAACGGAGAACCAGAGTACATCAATCAACCTTGCAACTAGGTTCATCGAACGATGTCAAAACGTCTCACCTCAGAGCCAGGACACAGTAAAATTACGAGAATTCAAAGTATTTTAGGGGAGAAATTTCACCTTTGATTTACTGCGGTTGAAAACCTGAAGTCTGCACCATTACTTTCTGAACTAAACCGAGGGATTGGACCGGAAATTTTGCAAAGATATCGCTAATAAAATCGCTATAAACATCACGTGGCAAACATTATGAAAGACTAAATGTATTCCAAAAACTTTGCAGCCCTGGAAAACCGCAGTTCTTTGTCTTTTGAGATCTCAAGGGACCTTCTGGTAAATCGGAATTGCTAGCTTTGACACCTTCTCTCACAGCTTCCAAACTAGCGAGTAAATCTAGAATAGTAAGTAAATATTGAGAAATGACACGGTCATTGAAATACTAGTTCGATAATTGCTCAAAATTATTCTTCTGAGGCAAAAAAAAAATACCATGGAAATGCTGCCAGTTAATCCTATCAATTCCTTTTCCCGTAACGAATGCAAACAAACAAACAAAGAAATTACAATTGGTAATGAACGTCGCGGAAATGAAGATGTCCCAAGAGATGGTTTCTGAAAAGGAGTCGATTACTGGAAGTAAACATATAAAGAGCTTTCTTTCAACCCTTAACACCTAAACATCAGTATGCACATTCTCAATACTGATCTCCACACATTTCCTAAGGTGCTGACAAAGAGAATTTGTTTAACGATCAAGAGCCTCTTAAGTTAGTGATCATTTCCTTTATTCTTGTGACCTAAATGTTCGATTTAGGGTTGATATTGTACGGAGAAATTAGATGCTAGTCTCTCTTAGTGCTCAAAGGGTTGAACACGTATATAATTTACTTCATTGAAAGAGGAAAATTCCGCCTCAATTGGCTACTTCGTAACGGTCATCGTCATACTAAGAACACGAACAAAAATTAAGCAAAAAAAATATAGATGTAAAATAATACTAATAATAAGACAAAAAAAGATTCCAACACCTTTTTTTGGTTAAGCAGTCACATGAATTTTTTTCTCAATTTTCGTTGTTATGAGGCTACTCGTCAAGAACGTAGAACAGCTAAAGGTTTACTTTACCTGCTTCAAGTTGCGATCTCTCTTCGGCCATTTTTTCATCTAATCTATTTTTTATCTTGTCTTTCTCTTCCTCCAAACGAGCCCTCGTGGCTTCCACCTCATTATCAGCAGCTAACTGAACCTGTTCCTGAAGGGTTTTCACTTCATGTAACATATCCTCTTTGAGTTTTTCCATTTCTTGCAAATGTTCCGCTTCAAGTTGCCGCTTGACTTCGTCAAGTTGTTCATCAAATTTCTCTTGAGAATACGGTTGTATTTCACCTTTGGCTTTCTCCTCAGCTTGCACAGCGTCTAAAGCTTGCGCGAAAGCCTCTTTAAGCTTTGCTATCTCCTCTTCGTTTTCTCTCTCGAGCTGCTCACGTAAGGCCTTTAGTTCGTTTTCATGTTCCCTTTCCAAATCATCCTTCAAAACGTCAAACCTTTCTTGTTCGGACGAGTCAAGAATCTGTTCCCTGAGAGCTTCAACCTCTTCACTCATCTGTACTTTGAAGGTTTCCATTTCATTTTGATGCTCGGCACTAAGTCGTTCTTTCAGAGCGTCAAGTTCTATCTGATGCTTCTTTTCAAGTTCCTCTGCGATAAGCTGTAATTTTTCCTCGTCTGAAGCGACAAGGAGTTCTTCCTTCAAAGCTTCAACATTTTCAGCAAAAAGCTCCTTCGTTTCTTTTAGCTCTTGCTGATGTTTAGCTTCCAGCTCTCTCCTTAAAGACGCAAGCTCTGTTTCTTGTGCAGTTTTTGTATTATTGTATATGTCTTTAAATTGTTCTCTCTCAGTTTCCAGCCTCGCTGCTAACTCATCGGTTTCCTCTCGACATTTTTCCAACTGCTCTAACAAGTATTTTTCACTGTCGCCACCTTCACTGTCATCCTTAGATAAGCTGTTTTCTTTCAAAATTTCAATTTCCTTCTCATAGTGCTGCTTTATGTCTTGAATTTTTGCTTCATATTGTTCGAACAATTCTTCCTCGTTGCTCACGTCTTTGGACATCCATTGTTTGGAGAGTTCTAATTCTTCTTTGAGGTCTTTGAGCTGCGATTCATATTCTTCGCTCAAGTCTTTGACCTGCTTTTCATGTTGCTCGAGAATTTGATGTATTTTTTCCTCGTAATCTTGAATAGTAGCTTCCTTCCTGGAGCTATCTTCAACCATCTCCAACTTAGCTTCTTCCACTTTCTGAACTGCTTCCAAAGCAAGCTCTGCTCTTACACTAGATACCTCATCTAACAAATCACTGAACTGTCTACGTTTTAGATCGTTTACTTCCTTTTCATGGCTCTCATTCAAATCTATCAAAAGCTCCTCTTTGCTGCTCACCTCTCGTCGTAAATCCTCCATTTCCTTTTCATGCTTTTCGTTCAGGTCCATTTTCAATTGCCGTAGTGCCTTACGATGTTCAATTTCCATCCCTTCAATTTGAGAGGATAACCTCAGAGCAGTTCTCTCGTAGTCTTTCTGACCTTCCATTCTCAGTTCCTCCATATCTTTCTCGTGTGTTTCGCTCAGATTAAGTCGCATCTTTTCCAAAGCCTGTGCATTTTTCAAGGCCATTTTGGCGCTCATTTTCGCAAAATCCTTCATCTTCTCCTCTTGGAACTGCCCCCTTACATCTTCAAGTTCAATCTCATGGCGTGACCTAAGCGATCGTATTTCATCTTCATATTGTTCTTTCACCTCTTCTCTGCACGCTTCTAGTTCTTTTTCCTTAATCTTTTCAAAATCAAGTTTTAAACTTTCAATTTCTTGCTCTTGTTTATCCTGAAGATCTCTCACAATCTTTTGAAGGTTTTCTTCATATTTTCCACCGAGATCTTTCATGGTACTTTCTAGCTCAGAGAATTTTTTCTCTTCCATGTCTGTCTTGACTTTGAGCAATTCAGTTTGTAGTTCACCAATTTCTCTAGCATGCTGTTGTTCCTTGGAGATGTATCTATCAATGGAAGATGCGAAATGATAATTCGACTTAACAAGTTACGAGAATGACAAAAAGACGATGACATTTCTAATTCGTGTTTACAGCATTCAAATGTCATATTCAAACAATAAAAACACCACGCGTGTTTTCCACTCTCGCACGTCATCTTGAACAATAAAACACGCGTGTTTATTCCTAGCTGATGAGAGTAATCGTGAGAGAATTGAAAACCTTGATCGATTCTTACTTCTGGATTGACGTTGATTAGCTTTTTAACAAAAGTATTGAATATGAGGCTACCACTGACTTTGGAATGCTTAAGAGTTAATTTTTTTTATGCACGCTAACACGATTTGAACATTTGTGAGACTCTCGTAAAGAACTCATGGGTACCGTTATTACCAACAGCCTTTCTAATCTTTGGCAGACATTTCATCGATAACAAAATACACTCGCCAAAAACACTGCACTGCGCCTCGCCAAAAACACCTGCATCCTTTTTTCATCATTATCATTTTTTTTTAATTCAAGTATGTTACCTTCTCTCCATATCTTCCGCAAGTTTTTCCAGTTCCCTTACATGCTCTAACTCTCTCTCCATCTTCTCCTGCTCCAACTGCGATCTGAGCTTCTCTACCTCTTCGGCATGCTTCTGATCAGCTTCAACTAACCGCCTCTCGAACTCGGCCTTCAAATTCTGCAGCTCCGACAAGTGCGTCGCCTTCAGCTCACTCCGCTGCTGCTCCAGCTGCGCCCGCGCGTTTTCCAACTGTTGCGCATGCTCTTTAGCAGTGTCATCGTACGTTCCTTCTAAGTCCTCTCTCATCCGTGACAACTTTTCATGTTCGCGTTTGACTTGTTCGTTGATCTCTTGGATCTCCTCCTCGTGAATCTTCTCCAAACGCCGTCTTGCCTCTGTAGCCTGTTCAAGCAGCTGTGCTTGTTCGTTCCTCATAAACTCTATTTCCTCAGCGTGTCTTCTTCCCAGATCATCCAAAGCTGCATTTGTAACTTCGGATCTTTCCTTTTCAAGCTCTTCCCGTAGCTCCTCCAACTCCTGTGCATGTTGTTCTCCAAGAGTTTGTTCCATTTCTTCAAGTTTTTCGCGGAACTCTTCCATAAGTTCATTTCGCAATCCGTTCAACTCGCTCTGGTGTTTTTCATCTGTAGCAATTAGGCTTTGCTGTAAATCATTCTCAAAGTCTTCCTGGTGTTTTTCCGTGATTCCTAATACTTCCTTTTCTAGTTTTTGTTCAAATTGCTCTGCCTGTTTGGACAGTTTTTCGCTCAGTTCGTATTCATGCTTCTCCTTGAGTTCATCCATGTCTTTCTCAAGCTACGAGAAAAAGACAGAAAAAAACAACATTCAAACTCTTAATTACAATAATTCTCACTAAAACTACTTGGCAAACTGTGTTGTGGGTTTTCTCTCATAGGCTTTGAGAGGTCCTCGTCACGCTAGTTCAAGCTAAGTGATTCTTAACCAGTAACTCGAAATGACAAAGCTACGCAAGATTGAAATGAGGAGTGAATAAAACCCCAAATTGGAAGAATTTTGATGAAAATAAGCAAAACAGAGCTATGACATTTCGAAGCTATCTAGACTCTATCACCGAGTAAAAATTCACCATTACAGTTTCTTCAGAAAGAAGAGCAAATTAATGCTTTGTTTTTCAATTCGAAAACACATTAGTTCCGTTCCGTCAGTTCTACTAAATAACAGACTTGCGAGGGTTTGGAAACGGCATCGTCGTTTTGTTCTGCTAATCTTATAACTTATTACTCAGGCGCTCCGTTGGACTACTTAGTTTAACCCTATAACTCCCAGAAGTGATTAACATGTAACTTCTCCCTATAATACCCATACATTATCTAGCAAACTGATAGTGAGAATACTCGAACTCATCAGGAACAAGATATTACCTTGACCGAACACCAAATTCTCATAAAAAAATTTACAAGGAAATGTGTAGCAGCCAGGGGGGGAGAATTACAAATCAAATCTTGGGGGTTAAAGGGTTAAGATTCGGGGTCGTTCGTGTTCAGTCAGTTATCGTTGTCGAGACTCTAAACTGTATATGTGAAATCAACCTGTTCATACCTGGGCTTCAACATCTAATTGAAAAGCATGTGAAAACACTGCGTGGCAGGGATGACATTGTTACTTACTTTAAACAAGTCTTTCACAAGGCAAATTTCGCATGTTTATAGATAAAAAAAAAATGTGTGAAAATCGTACGAAGACTGAATGGGTCTAGATTTTAGCATTACGACACCATGAGTGCACGATTATATGCATCTAAATGTGAAACCCACTCTAAAGAAAAAAATAATGAAGAGGAAAAATTTCAAGGGTGAATTCATCACTCACTTGTGTCATCTTTTCAGTTATTGCATCTACTTCTTGCGCGTGTTTTTCTCTCATTTCGTCTAGTTTTTGTTGCCAATCGTGCTCAGTCTCCAAACGGGCAGTCTCGACCTTGATAGCAGTCTCAGCCAGGAAACTGGCGGTGAGTTCGTTCAACTCGTCGTGATGCGAAGTTTCTAGTTGCAACTGAACAGCTCCCATAACCTCTTGGTGTCGCTGGTCAAGATCTTAACGATAAAAAGAAAAAAAAACGGATTGTTAATTCTCCTCTCTAGCTTCTTCACATTTTCTTGTAAAGTAGTTACGAGAATCTGGTGTTAGATCAAGATGAAAGCTTCCAACTGATAACGTTGAGTATTCTCGTTACCTGTTGGCTGGATAATGCATAGATAATACTGGGACAAGTTATTGTGGTAATTACTTCTGGGAGTTTGAGGGTTAACTAAATATGTACCGCCACGCTATGGATAGGGGAGAAATTTACCTTCAACCTTAGGATGATTAACCCTAATACCTTTACACCCTGACATCAGTATTCATATTCTCTAGACCATCCTCTTTACAATCCCTATGGCACTGACAAAGAGAATTTGTGTTACAATCAGGAGCTTCCTTTATTCTTATGACCTTCACACTTGTTTTTGGGGATTCCAACATTCTCTTTGTCCCGCGCTTGTTAAAACACGATTATAAAAGTCTTTCTTGACTCAACTTGGGGCTAAAACTTTACCATCTTTCTTAGGCTAATAACTTCACGTTCATTCACAAGTCAAAAGAGTAGATCCAATCATTTGACTCCTCTGATCGTAATGTTTTCGCAATGTCCGAACCTGCGAGGTTATCGCTCATTTATTTCGCCTAAGATGTCCACACAATTTCCTTTGTCTTACCTTCCCTCAGTTCTTCCATTTTTTGCTGATGAACGTCGTCAATCTCCAACATGTCCTTCGAGTGTTGCCTCTCCAGCACATTCTTCATAGTTCCAACTTGCTGAAGACGCTGCGATTCCAGTTCGTTCTTGAGCTCCCAGAGTTTTTGCTCAAACTCAGAATTCATCCGTGTCATCTGGAAAAGAAGAAACACAGAAAGAAACTCGAGTTAGGCCGAAAGCGTAGAGGACGCCATCTTTGTTTACCGACTGGGTGACGCGTGTTAACACCAGACAGGAGCTTTTGTTGTCTGTTTGTTTTAGCACAGTGTTCACGACCTCAGCAATTATTCATCCCAAACAAAGAACAATAGAACTGTACAATTGTGATTCAACAATTCATCAAAAGAAGTTCAAACTAAATTAGAGTTTAAAAGGTTGTGTCATTTATCTAAAAGATATCTGTTTTGCATATCACACCTTTGCGTCGATCTTACTCTCATCTGCTCTGACAAAGAGCTAACGCTCAAAACGTCAACTTTGAAACTTGGTGTCCAATTTACATTATCAACTCAGTTGATATAACCAAATTATTTTACTCTGATTGGCCCCAGTCGAGTGGTTTTTTTATACAATTTAAAAACCTCGACTCAAACGGGTCAGGTGGAGAATAGAAGGCTATTAGAATTTTGGACCGTTACTTCAATCTTTGTTACTAAATTTTTCATTAATGCATTGTATGAAAATTTTCGCTGTCTTTTTTTCTTGGGATAAACAGATATCCAATATCTATCTTGCAAAAAGCAACTGACTTCAAGACAAGTAAGAACTTGTGTTTAGAATGCAATTTTTCTAGCCTAAAGAAACTGAACTGTCAGACGTCCACCATCCTGAGGTGTGATCCATAAATCTTGAAAATGCAAAAAATACATTTGACCTCGTTCTGGAAAAATCAATCACTGCTCTAGCGCACTAAAACTAACGATTAACCCTTTGATCCTTAATAGTGACTTGCATCTAATTTACCCTTACAATATCACCCCTGAATCACACATTAAAGTCACGAGAATAAGGCAAACGATCACCAACTAAAGAAACTCTTGATTGTAAAACCAATTCTTATTGTCACAACCTTAAAAAATGAGTACAGTGTGGTGGATATGCATACTGACGTTCGGGTGTATGGGTAAAAAATGTGGTTATGGAAACAATATTTCTTTATGCTTTTCTGCTCTGTTGTTCATTTTTTTTTTTCAGGCTAACATGCTTACAATATATGTTGAATTTGAAGCACCGCGTCAAAAGGGCTGAAGAAATTCATCACGTTCGAAGCTTGGTCTCATTCAAAATCTGTTTCCTTCTTTGCTTAAAGCACTAATTTTTCTAAACATAGTTCCGAAGAAATTTCCTATTCTTTGTTGTGGGATACACCAAAGATTGTCCTATGAGACATTCGCATTTGCAAGACCAGAAAAGGATAAAATCGAGCTAACAAATGAGCTCTGCATCTCTGTAAAATTAATTATTTTTAAAGAATATAGCTCTCTTTATCACAACACTGTGTGTCAATAAGGAACCACTAACATGATGAAGGAGCTAAAAGTTGTTTTCTAAAGACACTATTTCTCATTGTTTCGATGATATAGCAGCAGAATATTCTGATCTTATATACGATGATATCTCAAGCCTCAAGGATTTACAGCTTCTGCTTGGGGTTGATGATTGTCAATGAGAAGGGTTCCCGCTTTCTAACTGAATAGATCATCATATAAATTATGTAAATAAAAAAAAAAGGTGTTGTGTCTGCTAGAATCGAGGAAAAAAACACATCTCTAGCGAGTAAACCCACAATTAATTGAGAAGATTTGTATTTTAAATTATTCTCCTTCAAAAGAGTATTGGGAACAATGAATTTTAGAAAAACGTACTGAGGGAACTACATAATTCTGGAAAAAAAAAATAACATATGGATATGTAATTGGAGAACTGTGATATCCCACAAGGTGGCAACTTCTAATCTTTGGAAAAAAAAAAAAAAGCGGCGAGCGGATTAAGAACATCAAGTACAGTGTTTTATAGGGATGGCACTACATGACCGTTATACGACGATCTTACAAAGCAGGGAAGTATTATACATAATCACCGAAATCTTCTACGTGACTTTTACGCTACAGACTCTTCTGATACACCTGCCAAACCTGAGTGTTACTTTCACTTGTTAATTGGACCAACCTCTTTTTCAATTTGAATCGCTTTTGTAGATATTTTGGTACGCCCAGTTTCGACCAAAAGCCACAATAATGGTACTCAATGTGACATGAAAAGGACAAAGGAAACAAAAAAAACAAACACAAATAACTGCCGACAATGCAAACAACGAACAGTCACCCAAGCAATTAAAGATTAACAATGGCTCGCCGTTAATCGAAAGCCAGCTCGATGATTTCTAGCTAGTGAGCATGTCCAAGGCGTCAGATTAACACTGGAATACCTACCCTGAAGCAGTCATTAAAAATAAATAGTCAATGCTTACTCTCGATTTCTTGAGCGAAATTATTGATATTTGCTCATTAAGCGCGGGAGAACGATGAAATATCACTCGCTTATGTCGTTAAGTGCACTCCGGCGATCGCAGCTCGCAAGAAGGTTCTATTTTAACTGAGCATAAAATGTTTCACGGCAACAAGATAGAAGAATAACGCGCAAAGAAATCCTGATCGCAAACTAATTTAAACTACACGTTCATCTGTAAGCAAAGTGGTCTAATAACCAATAACTTTAATAACATGTGTTAGGTTAGATGACACAAATTAGTTCCAATTCCTTTGAAACATTTCTAACTTTTTCGGCCGATCGCAGGGCGAAAACAAATCTACCCAATGATACGTTTTAGCACATCGTGGTAAGAAAAGAGTAGTAGAAACAATTCCAACAAAATTTATATGTCAAAAGATCGAAATGAAAGAGCTTTCAAATTAACATCGTAAATGAGATATACTATTGTTTACCTGAGTATTTCCAGGTACAGTCCAGATGTAGAGCGAAATAGATTCACAAAGAGTAAAAAACCAACGTTTTTGTCGGTTAAAAACCCGTGCAACGGTCCATCGCTGAAATTATCGCCTTTTCAGTTAATTGCTATGTTTTGGTGCGCCTGATGTTTCGATGGCCGGGAGCCAATGAGGTTATGTTGTGGTGAAATTGGGTGATGGAGATTAAAGATTTAAAACTTTTCATTTCTGACGGGTTTGTTTACTCGTGGAAAAGGAATAAAAAATAAGCGTCTTCTTTCACACAAGGCAAAGACAAAGAAAACTTCACCAGATGTAACAAGCTTCTTTGACATTTTCAATTTGGCTTAAAAATAAATTCTAACAAAATAATAATAAACGAAAAGGAAGCGAGAGATGGAAAAATATTGCTCAAAGGGCGTCTGTAATTAAATGGCGTGACACGAAACGACACGTAACGGAAGGGTCACTATTTTGACGGAATAAACTGTGCCGACCAATCACAAAATTCGTTACATAATTAAAAACAGGTGGGTAACCGGTGATGCACGTCCTCTCGACAATTTGGATTGGTTGGCCGGGAAACGCGTCGAGGAATAATAAATTCGCATTCTCCACGGACAAAATAAAAGATACGAACACATTCGGTTCTGACTTGTTTCGATTCTCTAGAAGCTTAACTAACTTGCGTTTCATTCAGATTGAAAGTAATCTCGAAACTCTCCAAAAATGCGGAATAAAAATTACTAGATAGGAAACGGCAAATGCTAGCGCTCAATCTTGCTCAGATTGGTGAGATTCTGTTGTAATCGTTGTGAAGTCGAGTAAATTTATAGTCAAGTAACAAGTCCAAAATGCAAAGTATTGTATTAACGACTCGCTCGTGTGTAACGTAGAAAAAAATCACTAGCACAAGCAATATCACTGACAACATCGGTTACTAGACTAAATTACGTCTATATTAACATAAAGTACCACAATAAAAATAAAACGCTAGGAGCAGAAATCTTGTTTCGTCGAGGCTTACAAAAAAACCCGAAAATTTCCCACCTTGAAACAGTCTCGCTCTAGCAGCGAGTTGACGAGCCACAACGAAAGATCGCACCATTCCATATGTAAACTTCACTCGAGCCACCGGAGTCAAGAAAAGGTCGCTTGTGAATGACACAATTTACAGCACATTCAGATGAGTATTCAGTTCGGATCAAAAAAGCAATTAGTCCGCCGTTTCATCACAAAAATAGGCCGTTCGTACTACTGCTGTAAGCTGGTTCCATCTTTCTTCCGGCGTTAATCCCGTCGGGAATTTTTTTCGCAACACAACAGGACATGGCGTACAGCTTCGACTCGAGACGCGACGGCTTTCAGCGGATATTAATGTTTGGCCTGGCCGGTGGATATTGTCATCAATATTTGCCTGGGAATTTGGTTTTTGACTCCCACAAAGGTTACGTATATCCAGGCAACCGGCGCTATCGGAGTAACGATGAACAAACCTGACTATATTGTTGTAAACGATCGAAAAACCTTTTTGTTTACACTTTGCATTTTTTTTACAACAAAAACTTTTTTCAGCAAATGAGGTGTTTCAAAATGAGAAGAGTTGATATTTTGACTGGCGTTGACAATAATTCTCGACAATGTAGTTTGCCGCGAAACAATGTACTTTGAGAATGGAACCGACAAAGTTTATTTTAAATTTGAAAGTCACATTTCAAATTAATTCGTAAATTAAAGGTTTACGAAGTTTTTTATATGACAAATTTCAGCTTTACCAAAAGAACACGTGATCAATTTAGGGACTGAAAATCGCTGTCACGCGAAATAATTTCTAGGGAAAAAAATAAATGCAGTTTTATTCTTAAAATTCAGAGAGATATTTGTTTATTTGTTTGTTTTGAAAGTCACAGACTAATCAAATTGCCAAATTTATTTTCGCAGGATATTCATGAAATCATTGGACATCGCTATGGCAGCAATCAATCGCAAAAATCACGATAACAATTTTAAAAAGTGTCCTCAAGTCAGGTCTTTTAGACACTAGTTCTAAAAGTCGGTGCGATAAAATGATAGACGGTGCCTTTTTTTTTAAACCAGTCTCACATTAACTCCTTTCACACATAAGAGCCTTTCCATATACGACGGGTGAGCCAGAATGGCACTGCTTACGAGAACTCGCCCTACGACGCTTTCTTTTTGAAAAGCCATCATAATGATGTTTTTTTCTTTCATTTGCCAATCTTATCTTTAACCTTAATCGCACGAGTCAAGCGCACGAGACGAGCGAGTGAGAGCGACCACCCTTACCCACTTCCCTTCGCGTTCGTTAGAGAAGTATCCTCAATAAATCATTTATCTTTCCACCGCTATAAAAAGGCGTACATCAAATTTTCTCGTAGAGGTGTTATGAGGTTCCAAAGAGGAGGCATCCGTTGTGATGCTGTGTTCAAATTTCTAAAAGTTCGACCATGAACGCCGCCATTTCTAAAACAATGACTAACCCAGCTGCAAGCCCAAATAGCGGAAATCATCAAATGCGCTTCGCGGTTACGGCTATCAAAAAAAAAAATTAACAACAAAAGAAGGAGAACTGGAAACATGTCGTGATAAAATTAATGTATAAAGAACACACAGTTATCGCAGTCTGAGTGAAACCAGGGCAACACAAGAAGCAACGAAACTTTTTGGTCCTCTCTCCAAGAAATATCCCTTTATTAAAATTCACCGCCATTATATAAAAAAAAATTCTTATTTTCTCTTTGATAGCAAAGTATTTAAAAATATTAATATTTTTTGTTTGATCTCACAGCAATCCATCATTTGAGATTATTTCTTTAAGAAAAAGTACATAATATTGCCTAGGGTTCCACAATATTCGCTTTACGAGACCAGACATTCTCCACTTAAATTTTTCATTTCCTATATGAACATTTCAAATATTCCTCTACCGAACAACGTATCTATTTGTTTATAATTTATTTATCAAGTAAGGCACATACTTTCAACCATTGCGTCTATGAAAAAATATTCAGTTTATATTATTCTGTATTTGAATTGTCATCTCTGAAATTTAACTAACCATATTTAATACAGTTTTTGATATTCAATTCAAGCATTCACCTGAGTCAACGAGGGCATCCATGCACGAAAAAAAAATTTTAAGATTTGTTTTCTGTTATGTCTTTCACGCGTCTTTTCAGAAAACGTCACAAACAAATAACGGACATGCTGACAACCTAAATGCCCTCGATTAAAAAAAGTTTAGCTTGGTAGGTGCCGAAATCGAGGAATATTTTGGAAAGCCAGACGTCTGACGCGGGTGGCCAGAAACGGCGGGAAAACTCAATAGGCCAATCAGAGAAAAGGCGGTTGCCCTAGTTCACTCAGACAATACAGATGAAACTCACCACGTGTACAAATCTAGATTAAAATGTTACAACAAACATTACGTTTTTCGTATTAACACATCAATAGATCTGTATGCGACGACCCCTTCCCCACCCTCGTTTCCCCACCTCGAAAAACGGAATTGTAAGTATCATAGTTTTACAAGATTACCCACGGTTAGCTGGCTACAATTAGAACATTTCTGAAAATTTTTTGTAAAGCACGCGCGATAATTTCACCACCAAACGACACGCGTTTTCAGTACAAAATGGGCAGCTGCTAAACTACATATTGGGGACTCAGTTGGTTCTTCTTTTTCACAAGACAAAAAGCAATGACAGTTTGTCTCTAAGTAGTGTATTCACTACCAGATTTCTCTCACCATTCCCTTTTCCCTAATTTCTATAAAAACACTATCAAAACTCTGAAGTAAATACAGACAGAATTCTGTTTAGGAAACGAAAGCGCAACAACCTCTTGGTAAATTAACAACATTAGGGGACGTATGGAGATACATGAAAAGCTTCAAATACTAATGGTAACTTCAAAATACGTGCCAGGTACCATTCCATGATAACACAGATCAATGTCAGAATCTAAACAACTGCGCACCTACCCCTCCCTAAAACAATAATAGTCAACTGATAACATGTTAGGATTAAAGTTTGGCTAAGGGAAGTTACCCAGATACTGACATTGATATGATCACAATATTTTAATACTATAAGCAGTTTTCACCACAACACCTGTTCCTGATGCAAGGCTTTGAGCTGACCAATCTCGCCGCCATAATGATCGTTCAAGCTAGCTTCCAGTCTCCTCAACTGCTGCTGGTAATCCTCGTCCAAATCGGTCCGCAACTGTTGCATCGAGGCGGAGTACTGGTTCTCTAAGTCCGAGCGGGTCTCTAACAGATTTTTGTTGTACTGCTCTCTGATGTATTCCTCTTTGGACAAGAATTCCATCTCTTTCTGATGGAATTCGTGTTCCCATTCCTGCAGTTGTTGCTCTTTTTGTCTCATTTCCTCCTCGAGGCGTTCTTTCTCGTGTAAGAGCAGCTCTTCTTTATCGAGCAGTTTTGACTCAATAGCTTCCAGTTCAACCTATGGGAAATAAATCTCTGATAGTAAATAAAATTTTTTTGAAATTTTTCTCTCAAGACAATCTCTCGAAGATCTAAACACGAGAACTGTGTCGCAGTTCATCATGTAGTTCTTAGCATTGTCTAAGAGAAAAAAAAAACTGATAGTTTACAAATTCGGTCCAACTTGAGTCAACTCAAGCCATAATGGGGGGAGGGGGGGGGGGTTAAGTGGTAAACGAAAAGTTAAAAATTACTTCAGAGCTTACCGCGGTTTTTATTGCATGAGGTGACTTGGAGTGTTCTAAACCGGATGCTAAGCTATCGGAGATAAAACCTGAGAAGGGGGTTGGGAGTGGGAAAGCAGTTCTATAAGAGTGAAATGACTTGCCTAAATACGCAACCTAATCCCTCACGACGAAGCTCGAGCCCGCATAACTCGATCCGGAGTTCAGCGGGCTAAACACTTGGAGACTGCGTCGACCACAAATCGAGAGTAGTCAACTCAACTCAAGTCATCCGCGTCACTAGATGACTTCGAATCAAAATTAACATTCCTTTTCGAGACAAACCTAACCAAAATTGAGAAATATTCATCCACACTACACTTGAACCGTCTTAAGTTACCTGAAGTTCGTTCTTTTCCTTCCTAAGTTCCTTCTCAAACAGATCCTTCTGCCTGATGATCTCGTTTAGTTTGGCTTGCTTGATCAACTGTTCTTGTAGGGCAGCTCTCTCACGACTCAGTTCTCGCTCCAACACTTCCTTCTGGCGAAGCTTCTCAGATAGTCGTTCCCGCTCAAGTCTAAAGAACAAAAAAAAAAACCCGAGTCAGAGACTTAAAACGATTAAACTGGGGGAAAAAGAAAGAGCTTGAGCGCTGTTACAATACACACCGATAAATTTTCGAAAAAAAGATGGAATCCTCTGGGTCCAATATCGGACATAAGGTCGTCTAACGTGAACGAAAAAAACGAACACCCTAAAATCAGAATCTAGACGAAAGAGGTAACTAAACATCCTACTCATCTACCTTAAACTATCTTCTAAAGCGTTCTTCTCCTCCAGCACGTCCACATAAGAGTTGCGGTCTTTCTTTTGTTGTTCAAGCTGCTGTAACAGTGAATCTCTTTGACTCTGAAGCACGAGTAACTGACGACCGAACGCGTCCTGCACGTCATCGGAGACTGAGTCCGACGTTGAGATCCTGTCACGCAACTCCTGCGTTTGACAAATAAATGAGAAATTTAACTGACTGGTTTGTGAAGCAAAAAGAGTAACCTTGAATCTCTCGCAATGTGCAACCACAGCATCGTGAACGAAAGGACGCAAAAATTCCAAAATGATACTTTACGGGTAAAAGGGATCCCACATAAATTTAAGTGAAAAAGACAGACTTTAACCATACCGTTATCTTCATTTTCCAGACTGATAATCCTCTGGGCGCCCCCATAAAACGTTTTGGACGAGAAACTTAACGTATTTTCAGGAAGGCAGATTTCACTCAACTATCGAGCACTCGTTGAAGATTAGGAAAACACATAAGACTTTCGGTCAAATTTCGAAAAAATTTTAAGTCTTTCATATAATTTTTAACAATTTTTTTTTTGTTCATACCACACTCCACACACACCCAATGAATAGTACATACAAAAAGAAGTATTCACCTCAATTACTTGCTCGTGTTGTTGCAGTCTTTCCGTCAGTTCTCCCCTCTCCTTCGCCAATTCGGCGTCCTTCTCCTTGATCACATTCAGCAGCTTGTTCTTTTCTTCTCTTAGCTCACCTTCGACTCGAATTCTCTCCTGAAGTCTCTCTTGCAACAAGTTCAACTCCTGAAGGGACTCATAGTTCTCCCTGTCCATTGCGGTCAATTGCTCCTCAAGCTGTCTTTTACTGAGTTCCAGCGCGCGTTCACGGGCTTCCCTCTCCTGCATCTCAGCTCTGTAATTTTCTCTTTCCTTATCGAGCTCTTTCTTTGTCTCCTGCAGTTGCTGGCTTAGTTTAACTTCGACCATGTTTTTCTGTCGGACCAATTCTTGCATCTGGTTGAGTTTTGTTGTAAGGTCAGATTGCTTTGAGACAGAACCTTAAAAAATAAACGACACAAAAGAAAAAATGGTTATGGGCTTCAGGTCCCGAGGCATCCTCTTAAACTCTTGGTTGATCTTCTTTTTCGGCATTTCGCTTCCATCTGTACTAAGCACAATTGAATTTAAAATCGCCTATATGTCCAAATAACGTTAAAGTCCAACAAGGGTCTTTTCTAATAACAACACGCGTGGGTCACGCGCACTTCACGTGCTTTGGACTATCGCTGCTGGACTTTTTCAATAAGCATGTATTTGTTGAATATTTAAATTGCATAATGTTTCCTCCTAAGCATTTTGATTTTCACAATCAACCAAAAGTTGATTGAGGATAGATTACCAACCGAAACAAATTTTGGAGTCATTAGGTTTGGAGCAATACCTTTTCTTCGTAGCATAAATGAAAGTAATGAAATAAAAATCTCCATACCTTCGTTAAATCCAGCACCGGGTAAAACCTCCAGAGTATCGGCAGATTCTTGAACAAACAGCGGTTCCTCTTGCACGACCTGACTGGAGACAGGGCTGAGACTTGGCTCCAATGGGGCCGTCATCTGTTCAAGCACCCTATGAGTATCAGTCAGCACCTGAATCTCATTCAGAAGCCTGTCCCGCTCGCTAGTTACCTCAGAAATTTCCTGGTCCTTGTTTGCCAACTTGTTTCGTAATCGGGTATTCTCCTCTTCTTCCTTTGCAACTTTATACAGCAACGCTTCTTGCGCGGATGCGATCCTTTCTTCGCTCTCTTGTAGGAACTGTTTCTTCAGCCGTGAGATTTCTCTCTCCTTCTCCTGCTTCAGCTGCGTGGAGATCACCAGCGGGTCATCTTCTTCTCCAAACGCCAGACGTCCTTCACCAGTGTCTGACAACTGCTGCTCGTAGTAACTCCTTAAATCTGCCACTTCTTGTTGATGCTTCTCAAGGACTTTCTCAAGCACCTCCATAAATTCTTTTTCTTTGTTGCTAACCGCATCGATGGCCTCTTTCTCTAATCTTTCTCTTTCATTCTGTGCATGCTCTTTTAACGTTAGTATCTGGACCTCGTAATCTTCCTTCAGTCTTGCAACCTCTTCACTCTGTCCCACTGAATCTCCACCTCCTTCTTCACCACTACAACTTCTTATCTTCGTCTCCAAAACTTCTTTCTCCTCAGACAACGTCTTGACTTTTCTCTCCAATTTTTTCGTCGCCCCAAGGTGTTCTGCCTGAAGTGCTTTCATTTCGCTCTCGTGTTCCTCCTGAGCTCCCGATTGTAATTCTCGCATCTGTTCCTCTAAGTTGCTAGTGTACTGAGCAAGATTCTCTCTGAACACCTCCATTTCCTGTCCGTGCGTCGATTGCAGTGTTTCGTTCTCCGATTCTAAATCCTTCACTCGCTGCACTAGCTCTTGAATCGCTTTCTTATATTGCGCTTCAAGGTGAGCTTTGGTTTCGGCAAGCTTTTGCTCGTACTTCGCAGATTCATTGCCAAGCTCTAACACCAACTGTTTCTCCAGCTCAGCTGTTTGTTCTTGTTGTTTCTGCATGGATTGTTCATACTGCGCAACGTCGCTGCTGTGTTCTTCCTCAAAGCTCGACAAGTTGTCTTCTAGTTCAGCAATTTCCTTTTGTTTTTTCTTTAACTCGTTCTTTAGCTCGCTAATTTCACTTGCACTTGAAGTTTTCATGTCTTTCAACTGTTCTTTCAGATCTTCTACAACTGCATCTTTCTGAGCAACGACATCTCTCGCCCGAGCTAAATCATTGTCAGAGTCTTCTTTCATCTTTTTCATCTGTTGTTCCAAGTTATGATTGAACGCGATCTGCTTGTCTGAAGTTTCCTTCAGCACGTTCAGCTCACTTTCGTGGATTTGTTTCAGCTTCTCAATCTGTTCCTGCCTTACTTTGTCCACCTCGAGTCCCGATTCCTCCAGTTGCTCACTCATCGATAGTTTCAGATTCTCAAACTCGGCGACATGTTTAGAACTTAGGGCCTGTAGCTCATCTTGGTGCTCTACTCTGAGTTTCTCAATTTCACCAGCATTCACCTCTTGAACATCACGAAGCTTTTCCTCCAATTGATGCACATTACCCTTGTGTTCTTCTACCTCACTTTTAAAAGTTCCAACATCGGCGTTTAGCTGATCAATCGTTCTAGTCTTTTCCAGCAGCTCCTCGTTAACTTGATCAAGCGTTCTATTTTTCTCTTGAATTTCTTCGTTCATTCGATCAAGTCTTCTATTTTTCTCTTGCAGCTCTTGACTTGTTTTTTCAAGAGCTCTAATTTTCTCTTTTAACCCCTCGTTGATCTGATCTATAGTAGCCTTGTAGTTTTCTTCGTCTTTCTCCTTCAGACTGTACATTTCAATGATTACATTGTCCTTCTCCGATATCTCGCTCTGAAGATCTTCTATCAAGGATTTGGTGTCTTGCAGTTCTTTGGAAGCCTTGTTCATTTCTGATTGTTGGGTTTTGAGGCTACTGTCGCTCTAAGAAATTAAAATATATCAAACTAAATGTTAATCGCGCAAACAAGAGGAAAAATCTCAAAGAAAGACAGCTTTGTAGCTTAACACTTGTTCCCGCACAAACCGCATGCTGTTATTTGAGTTAATCCTACGCTACAAGGCCATTAAAAATAGGAAAAATGAAACCACCCCAAATCTGTTAGTCAAATTTCTTAGCCTCTTAAAGAGCTTTACCAACCTGTACTAGTTGCTCCTGAAGCATCTTAATCTGTTCAGTTAACTCCTTAGTTTCCAGGGTAGCGTCTTGCTTAGCATTTATCTGCTCACTTTCACTTTCTGAAAGCTTGGTCATCAACTCTCTCACAGTCTCTTCTCTTCTTTCCATGGCCTCTTGGAGCTCTAGCAACTGGTCCTGGGACCCACTCAAACGATCAGCAAGTTGTTCAGATTGAGTGCGGTACGTGGAGACCTTCAAACAAGATATTAAGGTTAAACGTTTTTATCATTGGGGGCTTAGTTTTTTTACACCCTCACATCAGTATGCATATCCTCCATACTGTTCTCTATACGTTTCCTAAGATGGTGACAAGGAGAATTCGTTTAACAATCAACAGTTTCTTTAGTTGATGATCATTTCCTTTATTCTCATGACCTTAATGTTTGATTCAGGGGTGAGATTGTTAGGAGAAATTAGTTGCTTATCACTTTCAGATGCTTAGGGTTAATAACCAAACAGGCACTAGACCCTGTGGCGGTTGAAAATGAAAACTACTAAAACTTCAGCCGTTTACTTGCGAGAGCGACCAAGAAGTAGTTTTTCTGCACTATATCAAATCATTTGTAAGCACACAAGAAAAGAGAATTACGAAAAATATAAACTGAAGGACATTGTTAAATACCAGTTGCATCATGAGAAGAACTACATGGAAGGAGGTACAGCTATGAGGGTAATTAACAGTGCGATCGCCGGAAAAAAAGATTTAACCCTATAACTCCCATTAGTGACCAAGACAGAATTTCTCCTTACATTATCAATACACTATCAACCAGATAAGTGATGAGAATAAAGAAATATATCAATTTGGGGATAATTAGTTGATCCAATTCTAAATTCTCTGAACTAACATTAGAATTGTATGGTTGACAGTAAGGAGAATTACAATTTTGATCTGGGAGTTAAAGGGTTAAGAGGGCTATTTCTTACAAGATTAAGAACTAGTACACGTTCAGAAATACTTACATCACTTTCAAGCTGTTGAATTTGTGACTTCATCTGCTCGTCGTTCTTCCTCAGATCCTCAAGTTCCTCATCCTTCTCAGCAAACTGATCCATCAGCTGCATCAGTTTCTTGTCCCTCTCTCCTATCACTGTGTCCAACTCATTCTGCTTGTTCAGGAGCTGCTCTGACAATCCATCCAAGCTTGTCTTACTCTCCATCAGCTGCTCTTGTACTGCTTCGTAATCTTTGCCAAGTTGTTCAACAGTTTGTTGCTTGATTTTCAGGTTTTCCTTCAAATTTTCCAACAATGATGACTCAGACTGTGAGTTGTCCTCCAGTGCTTCTACCTCACCCTGGAGTCTGGTGACTTCTTGTTCAAGTTCAGTGCATCTGGCCTGGCTTCTTTGAAATTCATTTTGCAGTTCTTCAAAATGACTCAACTCATCTTTCTTGGATTCTAACTCTTTTGAAAGATCTTCAACTTTAGCTCTCGTGTCTTCCATATCATAATTTCCTTTTTCCAACTCTTCTATCTTAGCTCGCAGTTCCTCATTTTCATTGCTGAGTTGCTGAACTGTTTCTTGTTTAAGTTTGACATTTTCTCTCAAGTTCTCCATCTGAGATGATTCAGAAAGTGAGTTGTCTTCTGCCAAGGCAAGTTGATGTTTCAAATATGAAACTTGCTGTTCAAGCTCTTTGTTTGCATCTTGATTCTTCTCAAACTCTGTCTGAAGAGTTTGTAGTTTTTCAAGCTGTTCATCCTTTGCTTTTGATTCCTCGCTTAACTCCTGGAGTTTTTGGTAGCTTTCCTCAAGAAGTCCTTTTACATCTGTTGTCCCTTGGGCATCTAATCTCTCCTTCAATTCTTCATTCTCCTTGTTAAGCTGTTCCATTGTTTCTTGTTTGAGTCGAAGGTTCTCTCTAAGGTTTTCCACTTCAGATTTCTCCTCAAAAGATCGATCTTCTACCCTTAAATTTTCAAGTTGAGCTTCAAGTGCAGTCACTTGCCTTCTACTCTCTTCAAGTTCGTTTTGGACGTTTTGTAAGCTTCCAAGTCTCTCCTCAAGTTGTGACTTCAAGTACTGCAAGTTTCCAATCTCACTCTCTTTCTCCCACAACATTTTAGAAAGTTCATCCACTTTGTGAGAACTTTCCTGCACCTTTCCACTGGCACTTTCATCAAATGATTTCAATCGTGCAGCAAGTTCACTGTTTTCTTGCTGAAGTTTCACTAAGACTTCCTCTTTAGCACTTAAGGTCTCTTTCAAGTTCTCCAACTCTGAGAAGTCTGTTTGCATATCACCACCTTGTGACGTCTGTTTCTTTAACCTTGTATTTTCATCCTCAAGAAACTTATTTCTTTCATTCAGTCCATCCAAAGTCATTTGCTGGGCATTCATTTTTACCTTCAACTCTTCAAGCTGCCCGCCATCAGGCTTTCCTTCCCTCTGTTCACCTTGTTCTAGTTTGGCTCGAAGATCCTGATTTTCTTTGTTTATGTCTTGAAGAATGGACTGCTTCATCTGTAAACTTTCTCTCATTTCTTCTACTTGCCTGCTGAGGTCCTTGATTACTGAGCCTCCAGACTGATCTTGCAACATTAGTTCAAGTCTTCCCTTTAACTCAGCATTTTCGCGACTGATCTGCTTCAATGCTGCCTTTTTAGCAGTAAGCTCTTCTTCCAATTCTTGTGCCTTATTCTTCAATTCATTTCGTTCTATATTTGCAATGTCATAACTGTCCAATCCACCTTCCTATTCAAGGAGAGAAACAACAATATGAACAAAGCAAACATATCAACTAGGAAAGAATCACATGCTTGCACTTGGCAAATAAGCCATGCAAAGAAACTGTACCATGCAGATACCAGCATTACCACACTGTAGAGATTGTAGTCAGTTAACAAAAGCTGTCAAAGAATATGTTGTCATGGCTGGTTTGCAGCAACATCATAATAATATAGCAGTTTTCAACAGAGTCTCAATAATAATCAGGGATTGATTTTGTTTTGCTTTACATGTGCTTTGCCTCTTGATAGGTCAGAAAACTTGTAACATTTTCTCAACCAATCAGATTCAAATATTAAAACCACTTGCAACTTGGCCATGCATGTTTTCCCACCCTTCAGGCAATTTGAGCATTTTTTCTTTTGGTTGTCATTGGCTGCTCTCTGCATTTTCCTTCGGTCTGATTGGCCTTTGCTGTAATTTTTGTTTTGGTTTTAAGACTTTTAATCTAAAAGCAATCTAGTTGGAAAGTTTGACAGTATAACGGTGTTAGAAACAGTTAACACATTTGTTTCTGAGCCTGGTAAAATTTAAAATTCTTTAAATCTGCATTTTAAGGGAAGAACTGAACTCAAAACAATAAGAGCTTAAAAACAGGAACATTTCATAGACTCTCAGGGAAAAATAACGTGTTGCAGTCAAGTGGACCAAGTAAAATTTTTAAGCCAGTGGAAAATTCAAAGGCTCCCTGAAGGCAACTACTTTAATTAAGACAGCTTTTGAGGAGAAGAGAGGCAACACATTGACATAGCAAGTCACCATGTCATGTTCAACCTGAGAGTTGAAAAGCCATTCTATACCACAATAATAACCTAATTCTATACCACAACAATAAGCTAATTTTCACTCAACTTCTCAGGTGATCTACCCCAGAAAATAAAATGTAATCCTAAGGTAAATTGCACTTCTGTTTAACCCCTTGACTGCCGATACCATTTGTAACCAGTGTGCCATGCCATTTTTACTGAAAACAGGTGTCTTCAAAAAAACTTCAAATAAACTGAAAATTACTTCTCTAAACTGTATAAACCTATACACTTCTGTGTCTTCACTATTTTCAGATAAATTGTACACTGGATCGTCCCTTTCACTTTCTTAATCACTGCCAGGCTCAAACTCGCTGTCACTGGATGATCTTTCACTGCCCGTATCATTCTATACACTTGCTAATACATCGTCTGTACTGTATCCAGACATTTGTTCAGTTTTTCTTTTCAAAACATAATATAATTAACAGATTTGTTCTCACAATTTTGCAACACGCACCAAGCAAAACATGAAACCAAGACGGCGGACAAAAATCAGACAAAAGGTGAAAACAAGTTCCCAGATTCTCTTGAGAACAAAAAACTAGTTACCAGTCTCCCACAAAATCTATTGTGGTTCTTGGGTGCCGGTTAAAATTGTTTCTGGTGTGCCGAGAAATTCACATAAAGTCTTAAAATTTTGACATACTCAGTATGTCATATAGGCACCTGAGAGGAAAAAACATGACATACTCAGTACGTTATATAGGCACTCAAGGGGTTAATTTGGTTGCCTCCTTTTGACAGGATTATTATGCCTAATTAGGGGCCAATAAATTATAAAAAAGCCAAGCCATACAAATACATAATGTTTTCTAGGACATTGTTGCTTTTTTTTGTTCCTAATAATGTTGCAAAATAAGATATAAACAAAAACCAACAGGAAAATATGAATACATGCTCATATTATTTCACTCTGCATGGATATTCAGCATTCAAGCTTAGAAACATACAGATTATATATGTCTTTCGTTTAGAGATTATTGTGTACAAAGCAAGATGCTCTATGCAGACTAATCTTCACAAACATTTTGTGGAATTATATTGATTCGTTGTCTGTATTAACCTGTCTACTTTTACATCCAAAAAACAAGCTAAAATATAACAAAACATCCTGTAAAGGTGAAATTTCCTTTAATCTGACAAGTATTGAAACAGCTGCACACACTCATGCATTACAATTATAATTTTAAATTGCTTGAGGGGTTTTATAGTGCATGGGTTTATATTGTTGTAGCAACAAAACTATTTAATGAAATGCACTGCAAACAAAGTTAAATGCAAATAATATGAGAGCCAGGGCTGAAAAACACCAGTAGATTTGACTAAATGGATACTTATGTTGTCAGTTTTATGATGCACTAAATTCTCCCAAAATCAATATATTTTCATGTCTGAACTAAACCTGGATAAGTGATTTATTCCTCTGATCTACGCACATAACTGGCCATGAAGTTAATTGTGCAAGCAAATAATTTCTTCCATATTGACTTCCCAGAAGGACAATCAAAGAAAGAATGCAAATGGAGAGGTGTTAATGACCACTTTGGTGAACTAATAAATTTTTTTTCAAGATCACGTTTAAATTTTTCAAACGATATATCATCTCGACAGTTTCGCATAAAATAGACAAGGATTGTAAACGAGTCAGCACACCCTGCTGTTCCTGTACAAACATTTGTCTAACAAGACTATTAAAACGGCAGATTACGGAAACTTGATATATATATATATATATATATTATCCTTTACAACAAAGCCACAACAAAACACAAGCTGCATGAACATAAATAAAAAGCACAGCTTGTTTCCTCACCTCAGAATAATCTCCGCTGGTATACTCACTCCCGCTGATATAGCTTCCCGATTGCGAGTTTTGCTCTTGTTCCGCCTGGAAATGGGTAAAATATAACAGTGTTGTCTTAATATTTTATGAGCATACAGCGTTGAAGGTCATTGACTACAAACACCGCGTCTTCCGTTGTTATGCGTTTGCCCACGCACCACGAAGCGCAAATACTTTTCTGATCAATTTAACTTCTTTAGAAAAACAAATTCACGAAAAAGTAGACTTAGAGAGCAACAAAGAAACACCAAAAACAACATATTAAGATCTGCAGCTTCTTGTGTATTTTCTCTTGAATATATATCGCACGGGTATCATAATCTGTTTATGCCTGAACATGCGATCTACTGATCTCAATATCGGATTTCCGAAAACTGTAGTTTGCGAGCCAAAAACTCAAACTTCAAAACTTAAATAAAATCTAAACTCTGAGTTCGAACTTAATAAACACATAGTTTGTGTAGAAATAAATCAATTTTCCAACAAAGACTTAGTGAATATCTTTGCAACTCAACGTGTCTATTTCGTGTCAATATCAACGCACGGTTGCTACTTTCGTGATTCATTTCCTCTCTCACTCTGATCGATCTTTAAAAAAAAAATCTCTTTCCAACTCACGTCAAAAGGAATTGGAGAGCCCACTTCGGAAGCGATAGAAGGCGCATCTCTATCCGTGTCTGCCTGGCTAATTTCCTCCACTTCCACGTCTTCTCCTTCATTTTTGGGAACTTTTTCTTCGGCAGCAACTGCAGCTTCAGGTTGTGCAGGCTTCGTGCCTCGGTCTTGCGAGGTACTTCTTCGTCGTCGCTCTCCAGGTGAAGGACTCCGCGCCGAACCACTCGTTGAAGACCTGTCTTTTTTCTTTTTTTTCTTCGTCCCTGATCCCGATTTCTTCTTCTGGAACATCTTCAGCTGCAAGCAAAAAACAACGAGGAAGGATTAGCGTCAAAGGAAGAGCAGCTGAAATGCAAACTAGCGAGAGTAGTTTCTGAACTTCGCGCGCTCGGCCACGTCACACAGTTGAATTCTTACCTTTTCCTTTCCTGCTTCCAGTTTTTTCTGCCTTTCTGAATCGTCACTTTCCATGGCGAAGCAATCGAGAGTTTCTGTCTCGTCCACGAGGAGATTTTACGGAAATATCATTTACGCACGCTCCGATCCACTTTGACCAACACAACCGCCATTTTCAGGTTTGTTGTCGGCTCTTCGTAATCTTGATCACGTGAGTTCCGGTTACGTTCGGCTAATTTCCAGACTATAACGAAATTCGAGACATAAGGCTGAGAAAGAACTGGGAAACAATGACGATGCAAATCACGATCCAAGTGCAGTGTGGGTAACTTGGAACTATTAAAAAATCAATATGGCGACAGGGAATGAGCTCGATTTAGCCGAAGAAATGGCAAATTCCTCGCCGGAACAAGCAATGGAATTACTTTCCTCTATTGGTGGGTTACGGCTATAGTATTCAAGGCTAGCCTAATGTTCTTTTTCTAACGAATGGACTCAATATTTCAATGAGAAGTAATTGGGGGTCTCATGGATATACTGTTTTTCAATGTCTTTTAGTAAAGCGTGACATTCGCACCGGAGATGAAGAGGGAATCAAAATGAAAGAGCAAGCCATTTTAAATCTTGGGAATATGCTGTCGAAGCACGGAAAAGCAGAGGGTATGAAATAAACCTTCGTTCATTTTTCCTTCAAAATAATTATAATAACTGACAATTCCTGACAATTCCATGGCCACTCTCTCATAATTAACGTTTCAGAATATGACTTCCTCGTAGTACCAGTGATTTCAATGAAATTAGGTTCAGAGGGGTAGTTAAGAACAGCAGGCCGTTAGTTTTGAAGGCCAGGAGGCCTTTGTTTCCAAGGGAAGCATGTTGTGTTTTGAGTTGGTTCAATTAAGGCTCTCTGTTTGTCCGAGTGGTCTAGCAATTTAAAAATATTTAGCTTTATCTTAAGAGTACAGTAAACCTTTGTGGAAAGGTTACATCACTGTAATCAGCAAATTAAGCCAGCAACACATCTGGCAATTTTTGCTAATCACAGCAATTGGCCTAAATTGCCTACTGTGCCCAGTGCAGCAACTGCATTTTTCCACAGATCATCACAGTATGGGTGCACAAAATCACCAATATCTGACATGCAAGATATCTGGGATTTTTTACACCCATCACAGTGATCAAATATGCCACGATCAGCCAATAAAATTGCCAGGTGTGTCATCAGCTTAAGAAGTAGATTGATCTTCCCCTGCTTTACAGCTGATATTGAAACCTCTAAGTATGTCCTTTGAGGACCACTCTAAGTAACTATCATCTGATCTGTTCATTAGAACTGGGAGGACTTATCAAGTATATTCGCCCATTCCTGAAAATGGTATCAAAAGCAAAGGCTGCCAAGCTTGTTAGGAACCTGGTTGATTTGTTTCTTGATATGGAAGCATCAACTGGCATGGAGGTAGAAACTGTAGTTTACTGCTGATTTAAAAAATAAGTGAGATATGACAAGCACCCTTATTTGACAAAAAACTATTGTGTATTGCTCTGATAGACCCATAAAAAAGTTAACTCAATTTTACAAAAGTAACAGGTGGCACTATATATTGAAAAAAAAGTTTGAGATCACTCACCTTGAGCCCTGATTTATAAGGTATTTTCATGTTCTACCAAAATCCTGTGTGGGTTATTGCACCTGTAAACCAATAGAAAGAGTGTTTTTTTTTCCTGAAATATTATGAATCCTTTATCTCATCATTCAAGGATTATGGTTTTGATTTGATTCTCAAACTCTACTACAAGTTAATGGTGAAAACAATTGTAAATGTAATTTTATATTCTCCTGTGAAAAGGTTGAGCTCTGCAATGAATGTATTGATTGGGCCAAAGAGGAAAAAAGAACATTTTTACGACAAGCTCTTGAGGTTTGTGTTGTTTAATCTAAATGATTGCAATTTAATGTCTATTATACATGTATCTGACTGTGAATCTCAGAGAACCTTGAACACCAAAAATATCAGTGGAATTTTTCTTCTGTTTCAAGGAAAGTGCCATCAAGCATTAGACTAAACCACAGATAGTAATGGTAATTAATTTGGGGGTTTTAGGTTTGATTTATTGTTTTGATAGTGACTGTTAAGAACTCAACTGATCTCTTAGGAGCACATCAGTATCTTCCCAGTTTTCTGAGTTTCAAAATAAACCAAACTCCAGATTCTGATTGGTCCTTACATCTATTTATTTTGCAACACCTGTTTTTGGATATTTTTAGATGCTGGTTATTAATAAAAAGTAGAACAAATCAAGAACAGGCTGACTTGTAAACTTCACAGAAAAGAGGGAAACTAAATTTTTTCCCTGATTTGATTTTTTTTATTTTTGCTTTACTTATAAACAAAAATTCAAAACATCGAGATTTGTCAGTCATTTTATCCTTTCTGGGAAATTGACTGATTAGTCTTGACTGCTCTTGATCCAGTTTTCAAGGTTCAAGTCCAAAGGCATAGGGCTAGTTACTTACATGAGGTTTCACCCAAACCACGGTTTTATCCAGGCAGTGGGCCTTATGTAATCTTTACAAGAGGATTGTTGTAATTAAATAAATGTCCTTCCACTGCTAGCCTCTGGCCTTCTTGACACTGTTTACAATTATAATAAATGCTTAGATAAAAGATTCAGCTAAATTCAAGGTAGCTTAGAATGCTGTTTTGTTCATCGACGGCTAAACTTTGTTTAAATAACCAGCCCATAGTTCAGAATGTGGGCTATTGGTGATGATTTTTAACTTGAGGCATTGTCATACTTAATTTATTCTAGTGTGTCTTGATTAAAGTACTGGTAAATGAGGTACAGTGTAAATCATTTTGGGGTATCCTCCAGTTTTGTCAACTTGAATAATAGAAATGGTGTTTTTTTGGTAGTATTTACTTGCCCACTTTGTGTTACTTTTCATTTCAGGCAAAACTGGTTGGTTTGTATTTGGACACTAAAAATTATACCAAAGCACTGCAATTAGGTAAGTATACAAGCACTGACTGAATTTTTTAAATTTCCATTTATATTATGAATACCTATTTCTAAGCCACAAATGACTTGAACCTTGTATTGACTGGTGATGAGGTCTGATTGTACAGTAGAATATATTCCTGAAAAGGACTGTTGTTATTAAGAATAAGTGATATTTTGACAACCTGAGGTGAAGTCACCATCAGAGACAGGTGACTCAATTCTTACTCTGATGATAACCTAGTTGAATCTTATGGCGACTTTTTCCAAGGGTGGGGAAACATCAGTCAGTGTTACTGTCATTCTGACAATCTGACCATATGGTTGCCTCTATAACTACAGTATAACAACAATAGACATCAGGTACTCCAAGGTGATGAGATGGGAAGGTTTATAAAACGTGGTATTTTACAAACTGAGTATCTAAAGAACAGGGGTATTTGTCCTTTCAAAGTTTGTTTTGCCTATTTTCACTTTGAATATCATCCTTAAACAGGTTCAAAACTCTTAAAAGAGCTAAAGAAACTTGATGATAAGGCGTTACTTGTTGAAGTACAGTTATTGGAAAGCAAGGTTTACCACAATCTTAGCAACATTCCTAAGTCAAGGTAAAGTATTTTGGTGTGTTTGTTGTGTTTTTTTTCGAGATGTTTTTTGATGGTATCCTTACCAAATTGATTTCCCCTTGAAAGTACCAGAAGTACTACTGAAAGCAAGGGCAGCAACCCTGTAAATCCGTGTTTGCAGTGAAAAAGAAAAGTTTATACAAATAAGCAAGTAATTGTCATTCCACTTATTTGCTGTTGATTTAACCTTACCAAGTGCAGGACTACCTCAGCGTGGTCAGCCATTAAATTTATATTATATACTGTCTTCACCTTCCATTAATTTTTATTTGTAACACAGATTAGAAAATTGTTGAAAATACCGGAATATTAATATATAAGCCTGCTGAAATCATCTGTAATGATTTTCCTGTATTAAGCTTGTAATGTTGTAGGGGATTACCAATAATTGACTTGTTTTTATGATATATTCAAATAGGGCTGCTCTTACATCAGCAAGAACAACAGCTAATGGCATTTACTGCCCTCCGAAACTACAGGCATCACTAGACCTGCAATCAGGTACTTAGTATACAGTATTCTCATTATACCTACTTCTACTGTTGTCCAGGTTATATAATTATCTTCTTACTGACTAAGCAAGAGGGCTGTACTGGGGAATATTTGCCCTAGGTCATGGCATTACAGACTGAGTGCAATGATGTCCATACACAAGCAACAAACAGCCAATATCTCTAAGTAGTGCTTGAGTAAACAAAATAAGTACTTGTAAGTAGTTTATTATATGGCACTCGAACCATATTTGATTATTTTGAATTTGCTAGCTTTCAAAACCAAAAATACATGGAAACAGTGTGTATGGCAAAATATGGACCAAGTAAGAACCAATCAGAACACTCAGATTTACCTCAGGACTACCTTACCATATAGTAAGACATATTATTCAGCATCAGCTGAACCTTCCTTTTAACATGTTGCTTTTCACCTCAGGTATTTTACATGCTGAAGAGAAGGACTTTAAGACTGCATACTCTTACTTCTATGAAGCATTTGAGGTACATTTAGTAATTGATGATTTGTGATGAAAGGTGGAGGGAGTATAGAATGTAGTACAGTTAATGAAAGCAGATAGCTATTAATCACCACTCTGACAAAGGGCTAATGCTCAAAATTTCAGCTTTGAAACTCTTTATGGTAGCCAATGTACATTATGAACTAAACTGATAATACTAAATTACTCTGTTATACTCTCCTACCAATGCAGTACCACAGTTTCTTTAGAAACTTATCCCCTTTATTCATTTAGTTTTAATCACTACCACTCTGACAAATCCAGTTTTTCATCTTTTCATAGGATCACTGTTTTAAGGGGGTTGGAAACAGTTCTGCGAGACAAATACAGACTATATTCAAAACACTCATAAACCTACTTTCACTCTTCCCAGTCAAACCAGTTGAATCCCAGTTATTATTCTTATGTTTAGGGGAAAATCCAGGTAAAAAGTTTTTGGGGATGGTCTCAAAAATTATGGGACAGATTTTCTCACAACTGTAGGATTTTTTTTTTTTTTTTTTTTTAGATACATGTAAGGCTTTGCTGCAGAGTGAATTTTGCGATATGTTTATTTTACTACTGTTGCTGAGTTATTGGTTAATGTTATTGATGCTGATCCATATACTCATTTTTATCTTAGGGCTTTGACTCTATTGACAACCCTAAAGCTGTATCAGCACTAAAATACATGCTTCTGTGCAAGATTATGCTGAACAGGTAGGTTTAGGTAGAGTGTAGAATAAAAAGAACCCAGCCAGAAATAATTACAATAGACAAATAAGGTGAAATGATGTTATGAATATTTTACCAATGGAAACTCAAAACAAATGCATGTTTTCCTTGTTGCTTAGGTCCAATTACAGGAAAACTTGTGTGACCCAATTGCTGCTGATTTCAATTCTACATCCACTTGGTTGAATGGATATGGGAGACTAACCAAGCCTTTCATGTAGCTTGATAACAAAAATCAAGGATTCAGTTGCAATCCCCAGTGAAAGATTGCTCAATTTTCCCATGTTAGTGGAAAGTCAGCTGGCAACTGTGACTGTCACAGTGGTGGAGCTATTCCCCTCCCCCCTCCTCCCCCCCATTTGAACTCAGTTAGTTTTGCTTTCGCAGCATACAAGTCAATTAACCTCTTGATTGATCGGTGTGTAAATTTTCATAGCACTTCTTGTTCATTGTCGAGGAAGACAGGTCATGAGAATTCAGAAAATTATTGACTCAACAAAATTGTTTTGATGAAAAAATTCAGCCCTTCCTTAAAAAGTGTGTTTTGCTTTCTTGTTTGGGGAATTAGCATAAAGATCTTTGGAGTTGATTTGGAATTAGCTACTTGAAAAGATTTTACTCATAATATACTGTACAAAAGGCACCAGACATTTCTTTTCTCATTTATTTCAGCCCAGATGATGTACAATCAATAATCAGTGGAAAACTAGCACTGAGATATTCTGGATCACAGGTTTGTAGCCATGCCCAATTATCAACGTTTTTTTTTTCATTTTTGTTCTAATCTTCAGTCCTAAGTCCAGGTTTAACATCGCCAAACAGTGACATACCTCGCATATTTTTTTACAGTTAGTCGCCATGAAAAGTATTGCTAATGCAAGCCACAACAGGTCACTGTCTGAATTCCAGCAGGTGTGGTAGCTTTTTTCATTGTTTGCAGTTTGGTTTTGATTTCCCCCACTATTAAAATAATGTTTAATCACTTTGAAATGAACTTTTAAAAATTCTACCATGATATCCTATGTCTTGTTGTCATTTCATAATAATCATCATTCCCTTCCCTTAAGATTTTGAATTTCTCATTAAAAAAATTCTGTTATTTTGTTGTTCCTTCAAAGGCCCTCAACACTTTCAAACAGGAACTCACTGAAGATCCTATCATTAGGGTATGTACAAAAATGAAAGAAAAAAGTTGCATACTGGCAAGACAACCATAAGGCTTTTGCAGGAACACTTATCAGTTAACTCTTACCATTTACTCCCCAAAATCAATATGCATATTCTCCATACTGTTCTCTGTACATTTCCAAAGGTGCTGACAAGGAGAATTTGTTCAACAATCATGAACTTCTTTTGATCATTTCCTTCATTCTCGTGATTTAAAAGTGTGATTTTTGAGTGATATTGGAAGGAGAAATTAGATGCTGGTCTCTCTTAGTGGTTAAAGGGTTAATAGAGTAGAAATTGAAAAGGACACCAGATAAGCTGAGAGCCATTCAGTGTTTCAAGCTGTGCAAACGCGTGGATAAACCTTTCACTTCCACAATCTTTTTTGTAAACCTCCAGGGCCATGTTGTTCAAAGCTAGGTTAAGATAACCCAGGGTTAGAGTGAAATCTGACCTCAGATCTGAAAGCTTTAAAGGCGTATTCGGTAAATTTATTTTTTCCTATAATTTGATGCCTGGATGTTCTAAAAAGAATTGAAGAAATTATCTGAAATAGGCCTTTGAAGAAGGGAATAAAGAAACCCAGATTAAAACTTAACCCTGGGTTGCTGCTAATCGGCCTTCAAACAACTGGGTACAGATGTTTGATTTCTTAAATGCTCAAGAGAATTAGCATCTATTCTCTCCATCTGTATGGTGAATTGATAATGGACATTTCAATGACAAGTTGCATTTGTTGCTCTTTTAACCCTTCAACTGTCAGAAGTGATTAACATGTAACTTCTCCCTATAATATCCATACACTATCCAGCAAACAGGTAATGAGAATACTAAAGGCCTATTTACACGGTAAGACTTTGTCGCATGCGACAAGCTTAAGACAGGCCTACGACATGACTTAGGACAATTTACACGCGCACGACATTTTCACCTACGACATGCCAAAATCGCGTGCAATTCCACTCGTTTCGGCCGCGGTCATTGTTTCAATAATTTGCAAGAGAAGGAAAAGAACCTCTTCCTCGCTCCACAGTGATATCATATTCTCTGTTTCCTCATCTGAGAATGTATTTTTCGCTTTGGAAGCAGTCTTCGACTTTCCGGAGGCGACTTCCTCCGCCATTTTGACGCAAGAAAATTTCACCTTCCTCCCCTACTCAGTAGAAATTTGTCACAAAATATGTCATTTTCTATCAATTTCGGCTACGATTGTCGCAGCGTTTTAAAACATGTTTTAAAATCCTACGACATTTTTCGTGACGTGCACGACAGTCGTAAGCGAGTGGTAGGTTTGATTTACACGATACAATTCGTGTCGTAGGCCTGTCGTAAGCTTGTCGCATGCGACAAAGTCGTACCGTGTAAATAGGCCTTAACACTTATCAAGAGAAAGTTTTATCTTGATCTAACACCGTATTCTCATAACTGATTTTCAAGGAAATTTGTGGGGACTAGAGGGAAGAATTTTAAAACAATCAGATCTTGGGAGTCAAAGGGTTATAAGGCCGATCCTGACATTTTTCATGCTTTGTGTGTCATATTTATCTTTTGTAATGGTACATCTTATTTTATTTTTGTTTTCTTTTTGTTTTTTTTTTCCTTTAGACCCACTTGGATGCACTTTATGACAACCTCCTGGAACAGAACCTCAGTCGGATTATTGAACCATTTGCTCGTGTTCAGGTATATATTTTTTTCTTTTATTTTTGGCCACTTCAGATTGGTACTCACAAGTGTCTCAGAAGTTACCAAATGTAAGTTTAATTTTTAATGATTAACTTACTGTCTTTTTCCCCCTCAGATTGATCATGTCGCAAAGCTCATTGCACTTCCATTGGTATGCATACCACTTATTGTAGTATTTTATGATGTTTTCCTCTTCGGATATTAACGGTAATTCAAGCTTCTGATCGATAATATGCTGAAGTAATTGAAGGGCCTGACTTGAAACCTTTGCTGGCTTTTGAATAGACACTCGAGAAAGAATGAACTGCGTGAGACAGGGTGCAAGGGAAGAAAATGCAGGTTAAGAGCTTTCGCGGGAACCGTAAGGTGCTATGTCTGCTACGTTGCAGTAATACATAACTTGAGATGTCATACGTGACATCATGCTCCACATGCCTTACCACAACTTTCACCCTCTTTTTTTGGCGCTCTTGGGCTTAATTTAGTCGAGGCCTTTTATGAACGTAAGTTTCCTTTATGTTATGTTTTATTTGCAGAATGTGGTTGAAAAAAAACTCTCTCAGATGATTCTTGACAAGAAACTTCATGGTGAGTTAACTGTGCTTCAACTCTTTTGAAACAACAAAAAGGTTGTTTTCACCATTTTTTATTGAATTGTTTTTGAGAAAAGTGCTTAAAACGGCTAAGCTTCAGGGGAGCTTTGTGTGTGGATGGACTTGATTACAGATTATATCCAACCAAATAAGTGCCATTCCTTTATGAAAATTCTCTTCAAAGATTGTTTACCTTGTCAAAATAGTCATTTTGATGGCGATCTTCGAAGGTTTCACGACGTTATGAATCTAAAATTTTGATTCTTGATTACTTACTAAGCAATATTATTCTTAACCGATTACTAAGGTTGGTAAAGATATGCCAGGCACTTGCATGGGCCTTCTTAAACAACCTTCTCTCGTTGTCCAAACGGCTAAATTGTCTCGTCTTGTGTTTCAATTTTTCTTTGAACTTTTTCATTTTTGTGAAATTGCAGGAATTCTTGATCAAGGTTCTGGAGTGTTGGTCGTGTTCGACGAGACCCCAGTTGATAAAACTTACGAAAACACCCTGGAACTGATTCATGAAATGGGAAAGGTTGTGGATGCGTTGTATAGTAAAGCGAAAAAGCTTCAATGACTCCGTCATTATTTATAACACATGTATGTAGTAGATGCGGAATATTCTCCACTTTGACCTTTATAGTGAAACTTCAAAATAAAAATGTCAATTTTGCGTTTATTTGTGTCCGTTATAACCAAAAGAAACGTTATGGAAATAACAATCTCTTGCCAACAAAATTCCCCGGGTAACTCATATATGACAAACAGACAGTGTCCATTTACTAAAATTGTTTCATTCCTCTTATACCTTTAATTGATAATATGAAAATATACAAGAAACCATCGTGTGAACCTTTGCCCTCATCCCGCATCTCTCTTTCCCGAAATCCCGAATCTCGAGTCCCGAACCGTCCGATTTCAGGCTCGTCTGTCCGAATTTGCCTCTTTTGCAACATATTTACGGAGGTACATCGGGCGAGGTTGGGATACCTGTGCTCCGAGCTGTTTCAAAGGCCTTTCCGTTGAAAACGCCGCTCTTTGTTTTATCTCTCGCATTCATTTATCAGGTACATGGCTCACTTTTGATTTGGGCTATAGAGATTTTAGCTTGGGATGTCATCCGTTTCCTGCATCATTTGAATCAGTATTTTTACGGGAAGAAGTTAATATTTTTTTTAATAATCCACGGTTTTGAATGTGAACGTGAGGAATCTGGGCTCTACACTTCTTAGGCTAGTACCAAGTCCTTCTCGAACATTGTTATGGTCGGCCATCTTGTCTTGTAAACTGGTAACACATAACATACATAAATAACGTTGATAGTTTTTACGTGGAAATGGATGAAGCGAGAAAAGGTTACCAACAAAGGATACACCAAGATCTCCTCACAGATGCTATTACCGGACAAAACAGGATCAAGTTGTATCAGCAACATTTTCAGGTACATTATTTTCTTATGGTAGAGTAGTTGAATATCGAAGTTCATGAACCAATTGTGTTTTACGCACGTTCCAAATAGATATGGGCATAACTTTTCCATGGTTCCTTCCTCTGCCATTTTTCTCTTATTGTGTCTTTCGCTCGGAGATTCGCCGTCGGCAAAGCTGGATGCGTCGTATGGGTCGGTTTTCTTATTCTTATAACAATATTATAATCAAAATTTGCGTGCACGGAAATTTATTTGCGACGCACATAATCAGCCAAGCTTATCGACGTAATGAAGAAGGAATGGATTTTCGTTTTTCTTTTCTTTTGGTGAGGGATGACGTTTCGATTAGCAATTCTCACTGAAGAGTTTTGGTACCTTGAAATATTTGGAGTTCAAAGATAGATGTATGTACATATCATTAGTTGTTGTGAATATTTATTGTGAATGCAGACGAAGAAGCTTTTGACCCTATCCCTCTAAGTCCTGAAATACAGGAAACTAATTCTATTCTACTTTTCAAAAAGAACTTGGAACGCATATTTGTTATGTTTAGGTAGCTTTGTTCTGTATAGCTTATTACGTTTCTTACTCCATCAGTTATAATATTCTCTACAAGGTTGTTCTGAAAACTACTTATTGTGGGATTGCTCCCTGTATAAAAATTATTATTATTATTATAGTTATTATTGTTTTAATATTATTAATATTATTATTATTATTATTATTATTATTATTATTATTATTATTATTATTATTATTATTATAATTGTTATTATTATGAGTGAGATGCTGTAGGCATCACTTACCTGGGGAGTTAGCCCTTCATCATTTGCTCTGGCTCAGTTGATAAAAGAAAATTAGCCTGTGCTTGATTTAGTTTTGTCACTGTATTGGTCAGTTTGTGGTGTCCCCTAATGCAACATTGTTACTTTGATGTAAATTCCCTTCAGTTTTGGCTTTTCTATCTACTGATATACTCATTTTGCAGAAAAAAGATGGATTGCCCGTACATTTGAAAGGAAAATATGGAATTCCATTTACAAGGTAAATTATCTAAACAAGTTTTTAGAAGAATTTTTTATCCACCTAAAAAAGTAGAAATTAACTCTTCCACTCCTAAGGGGTAAGTATCCATTCTTTTTTCACTCTGTTGTTCATTTCTGATAATTTCAGCCTGGAAAAGTTGTTACTGAATCAGGCATTATCATCTTGTAGATAATTTTGTCTCCTCTCATTACCTCTGTAAACCTTGTTAGGTAGTTTTTAACAGACTTACTCTTTCTCTTCAAAAGAATGTCTGTGCAACATTTCCTATCTGTCACATGCTAACAAAAATTAATGGAATATTCTCATAACAGTTTGTTAAGATGGGAGGAAAGAGGGCAGACTTGGAGTAACATGTTGCTTTTTTTTTAACAAAGGCTATCAAGCTATATGTGCAGAGGACTAGTATTTAACCCTTTCAGTCCCAAAATCTCACTAGTAATTCTCTTCACTGACTGCCATTCAATTCTTATGATGTTAGTTTGGAGAACTTAGTACTGGATCAACTGATGATTCCCTAATTTTTAGTTTTCTTTATTCTCATCACTGTCTGCTTGATATTGTATTGATATTGTATAGAGAGATTATGTCTTGGTCACTCATGGGAATATAAGGGTTAACCAAATAAGTATGAATTCTTTCCATACAGATTTATGGTCTATGGATGTGCAGTTGGTTTCTTTGTAGGAGTGGGAGTCATTGGAATGATGGCTACAAACACAATGCCTAAAAAACAGCGTTGATCCTGAATAACATTCATGTAATGAAGAAATCTTACAGCTAATGGGATGTCTATTCTTGATAAGATGATGGAAATGTTTTGAATGTTAAAATTTGTGAAAATAACTGTGTGTGCATTGAATAGCTACATGCTTTAAGTATTTACAAGGCTTCTCAACAAGGATAATTGTAATAAACTGGTCATTTTGATATTTGTGTCTCTCTGTCTTTGTGGTCTTCCCTAGTATTGAATCATAACAATCAGCTCAAAGATTTATTTTTGCCCAACCTTTTTTTGTATAAGGTGGCACATATTCTTGTATTTTGCAGCCTGTGTGTGAATGGTGTGATGGTATTAACCCTTTAACTCCCAAGATCTCATTAGTAATTCTCCTTACTGTCTGCCAAATGATTCTCACTATGTTAGTTTGGAGAATTTGGTATTGAATCAATTACTAATCCCATAATTGATATTTTTCTTCATTCTCATCTCATGTCTGCATGATATTGTATAGATATAGTAAGGAGAAATTCTGTCTTGGTCACTCATGGGAGTTCAAAGTTTAATTACTGTTTCTGCTTCTGAAAGTTGAAGGGTTAAATAAGTCACTTCCAGAATGCAACCCCCAACCCTCGAATAAATGTAACTTCTGATATGCAACCCTCAAAGAAACATAACTTTCTTTGATTTTCATGATTTTACCACAAAACTTTCTGACTAGGAAGGCTTACTAGTAAACAATGATTCAAATGTAAGGAATTCCTATGTAGTTAAAACAAAGAAAAAGCTCAATTTCGACTGAGTCATATTTTTTCAAGCTGCATTCCAACCTCCTCCCCTTAAATTAATGTATAACTTTCTCTAATTTTCTTGATTTTACCACGAAATTTTCTGACTGCAAAGTCTTTTAAAATACACAGATAAAGGTATAATAATATTTAGGGTAAAATTATCCTCTTTTGGTGGTAAACTTTATCTGGGGACTCCAGTTCCAATAATATGCACATTGCTGCTCCTAGTCTATCTGCCATTTTTAATAGCAGCAACTTCAACTGATTGATCATTTCTGTGGATTTCACAAATCTTGGATTGCAAATCATTTTCTATAAAATCAAAGGTCTTTCTGTGGTAAAAGGAGGAAAGAGGCTAGTGAACAGTTTATAAATTATCTAAAGGTTTCTTCTCACTGACATTTAACATTAAAATTCTTGGTTGAAATTTTTATGGTTCTATTTCAGTAAAACACTGAAGTAAAGGTTTCAATAAAATATGAAAAGAGGTAAAAGTAAAAGGCCCATTACCTCTATTTCATTTCTAGAAAACTCTAGAGAGGAAGAAAAAAATGCCTCAGGTTAAAATAAAATGATAGAGTCACCAAATCAAGTTAGAGAACTCAATTATCTTATGTTAACCCTTAAACTCCCTGAAGTGATTTAACATATAACTTCTCCCTCTAATATTCATACATTATCCAGCAAATAGGTATGGAGAATATTCACACTTATCACCCAGAATTTGTTATCCTGATTGGACACCATATTCTTGTTGCCAGTTTAAAGGGGAATGTATAGCAGCCAGAGGAGGAATTACAAAATCAGATCTTGAGGGTTTAACCCTTTAACTCCTAGATCTAATTTGTAATTCTCCTTACTGTCAACCATACAATTCTAATGTTAGTTCAGAGAATTTAGTACTGGATGAACTAATTATCCCCAAATTGATATTTTTCTTTATTCTCATCACTTATCTGTTTGATATTTTATTGATATTGTAATGAGAATTTCTGTCATGGTCACTCATGGGAGTTTAAAGGTTAAGCTAGTGAGAGCTCTCACTTATGCCAAATCCTGAAAATGCATTACTACTCTTTAAAACAGGTAGCTTTCTATTAACAGTCCACTGCAAACACAGAAGAGTGCATGTTGAACCAACAAAATAAATATTCCTCATGGGGACTCAGAATTTTTTCTTTGGCCCATGCTTGTGGCAAGATGAAAACATCTTTCTCTAAAATATATATGGTTAGGTCTTTTGAGCCTGAATTCATTTTAAGCCCTTCCCCCCCCCCCTCCTTCCAGGCGTAAAGTGTCATTATACCCCTCAACTTACAATTGGCTGTTTCGCTTTAGATAAACTATTTCTTGCTCTGGCAAGATTTCATGAAACCAAAATTCAAATAACACTTTATTTGCTGTTTGAAATTTGTGTAATTGTCCATTTTGAAAGTTAAGTACATGCACAGTAGTCTCATGCCCAGATCTTCCACAGCCAAGCAATTTTAACACTTAAGTTACAGTTAAATGGTAGGATCTGGCTGATGAGTTACACACACACAGTTGAAGCTAGAATTCAAAATTAGGACAAGGGTTACTGGAAGGCAGTCAGTGTTTAATGAGGCGCTGGTAGGGGTTATCAGGATACGGGATATTTGGGTAAAAAATTTTAGTGATATGGGACACTTAAGGAACAAATTAATTTGGGATATATCAAAGTTCACATGGCAACCAGGTGGACAATCAGACATAGTTTGATGCTACTCTGGTTTAAAGATTTAATGAATGTAACCGAGAAGTTACAATCCATAGACCCAACGTTTCGACACTCCCGTCCAGTGCCTTCATCAGGGATGAAGATTATTGGTGATATTTTTAGACTTATCCCACCCAATTGTATGGTTGGTTAGGTATGTTTGCTCCGATAAAGCTGAATTTTCTTTATTGCAAAAGAATTAAGACCGCTTTTTGATGCTCTTTCAAACGTGTACCAAACTGACGTTTGGTCTGTCCGATATACTCGTTATCACAGTCATTGCACGGAATAGAATAAATAGCGTCCGTTCGTTGTTCTTTCGTAACAGGATCCTAAGGTTTGGCAAAAATTATCACCACTAATCGGCGTTACCACCAGCGTCTTTGTTTGGAAGCCTGGCATATCAACTCCGTCCACGCTCCTTTAAATCGCGATGATGACAGCTCACTTCCTGACGCCTATTTACACTTCCACAGAAAAAGGGGCAGCTAATTAGTGAGCGTATAAAGGGACTTCTTGTTGGAGCGTTTAGATCACCCCTGATGAAGGCACTAGTTAGGCAGGAATGTCGAAACGTTGGGTCTATGAATTGTAACTTCTGGGTTACATGCATTAAATCTTTAAACCAGAGTAGTATCAAACTATGTCTAAATTTGGGATATTTCAAATAGATATTCTGGGATATCAACCTAAAATTACTGGGATACAAACCACCGGAGAGAACAAGATTTGGGATATTTAGGCCGAAAATTAATAGGATAGGGAATATTCAAACCTCCCCTAATGGGGCCTCTGTATTGATTACAGTTTCTGCAGCTTTTCAAACAGTGTTCTGCTGTTCCTGATTTTAGAAAATGCTAGTGCTGATTCATCAAGAACTGGACCCCCCAAGGAATAGAAAAATGAAAAGAAAACTATCTTAAAAGTTTGTATTCAGCGCATTAAAAAATATACTGTCGATAATACGCTTCCCGCACGAATCGCAAGAAGCACGTTTCATTGGTGACCTGCCCTCCCCTGCTGTATTGCATGGTTATTTATGGCCCACCCCTTTTTTCAAGCAATTATATGGTCCCTCAATCCGATGATTTAACCAGCCCACCCCTCTTTAACTTTTTGGCTAATCCATTATTACCCCATTCAGTTCCAGTTGGGCATTCTAGCACTTGGCTGGTTACCACAACATCATCACCGTCAAAAAAGCAAAAATCATTAGAAAAACTAGGTGAACCTAGAGTGAAATTTCGGTACCCATCGTCACTGCTGTGGCGCGATTAGAGACTTTTTGGCCGGTACTGTAACTGAAGTGTTTGTTTTGTTTTGTACCAGGACCCACTACCATTTTGAATTTCAAAGAAAGCGCAGGACAGCTGAAAATTGATTTTAATATTTGTTTTCTTGTCAAGCTATGGGATCAATTTACTGAAGTTCTAAACCTTTAATCCTTTAAATCCCAAGACCTACTTGTCATTTCTTCCCTTTAGTTGCTACTCGTTTCCTGTAGTAAATTAGTTATGGGAATTTGGTTTCGATCAAGACAAAAAATTATACTTAATAGGTTTAAGTATTCTCATTACGTGTTTGCTGTATAATTTATTTGTATTATAGAGAGAAGGTACATGTTAATCACTTCTGGGAGTTAAAGGGTTGATTCATTCCCCGAGGAATCGACTTTCAACTTGTTAACATAAAAGTTGATTATTTAAGCCAAATACTTGTGTTTGTTTCTTCGTATGATCTTTCCAAGTCACTTGTCGGTAACTGACTTAACCTGTATACACTCCCTAGATTTATTTACTTTTTGGATTAGAGCTTGACCTTGGAGTAGGACAACGGACTTCCCGGACGATTTACATGTTAATCAGTTTGCGCCGCATATTTTGGCACCAGACTTGCGGGCTAAACTGATCTCGCATAAACAGTTTTGGGTTATCTTCGAAATAAATGATAAGTAATTCTTTTTTAAACAAAATTTATTTTTCCTGACCGTTGGCAGAACAACCACACACCCACACACTTTCCATGAAGGCCAAATTGATATCCAGGGTAAGTAGAGTACGTGCAGGGGGAAAAGCCTGTATCACATCAACCTATAACACACAACTTGTCCAGCGCGCAAATAATAAAAATTAACAAATCGAATTAGTCTTTGCTGGTCCAGTATTTTCCGGGTATTGAACTGGCAAATACTGCGAAAAAGCAATCCTACACGACCCCTCTTAAATGTTTCTAATATTTTCGCGGGTTCTTTTGTCTAAGAGTGAAAAAAAATTTACCAATAAGAGATTCTTTCCTATTCCTTCCGTATTTCTTTTAACCCTTTAATTTCCAGGATCTGATTGCCAATTCTCCCTTCTTGCTACTAGAAATTACCTTGTTAATTAGTTATGAGAATTTGTTGTTAGATCAAGATAATATCTTCTGCCTGATTAGTTTGTGTATTCTTATTACCTATTTGTTGGATAATGTATGGATATTTCAGGGAGAGGTTAT